TCTTCCAAGGTACTTCTTAGAAGTTGTCAAATTTATTTCAAAACAGATTTTTGAAATATGCTTTCTATATCCTTTTAAATTCTATAAAATCTGTACATAATATATCTTAATTCCTTTTATTTCCATTCCCCTCCCCTCCCTTCATTCCCTTCCCTCCTCATTTACAAAAGCTTTGTTTCCATTTTTCCCCTCAGTTCTCTCTTTTTTCAATCCCTTTTTCCTTCCTGCCCTTACCCCTTCCCTTTTTACTCTTTCTGTTTAAACAAGTTCTTCCTACTTCCAAATAACTGTCCTCCCTTTTGCTCCTTATTTAACCTTTGGATTTCTCACACAAGAGAAACAATCTGATATTTAAACTTGTGTGTCTGATTTATTTCACTTAAGATTATAGTCGTGTTAAACTTTAGTGACACTATGCTGTGCTTTTGTTTTAGGTCACCATCTTCACAATAGTTGCTACTGATCTAAGTGAATATGGATTTCTGAGGCTATTTTTCTGCACTATATTAATACCACCCTTCACACTGATTGGTTCTCTATCCATGTTTTCTGAGGTAAGTAATTCTAGTCCTGTCCTAGAATCATAAAATGTACAGCCAGTAGAGAAAGACTTAGGCGTTGCAAAAATATGAGCAGAGTCCTTAGCCATACAAAGTTTGAAGTCTTTCTCTTCAGAAAGTCAATTGTCTTACCTTAGGCAAGGGGCATGTTCTTGTTCAGGAAGAAGCCAGGCCTTGGTTCATGAAGGTCAATGGAGACCCCAGGCAAGGGGCATTTTATAGTTCTCGTGCTAACTCTCACTCTGGGAACCCTACTGAGAAGTGCTTTCTCTGCTAAGTTTTGGATAAGTTAGGTTTAAAGTTCCTCACAGAAACTTAAGAGAAATGTCAAGGAGACAGTTGGATATACAATAAAGTGCACAAGTAAAAGGGTTGGTCTCCAAAAACGCAGAAACGTTCCATTTATTTAACAAGATCATCATTAGAGTACATAAATATAGAGGTAAGTGGCTTAGTGATTTGCTGGTATAAAGATGAGAATAACATGCTTTTATTAGGGAAATGAAGTCATCAGCTGAGAGTGAGGTAATTGGGGTGGGGCGGGGTTTTGACAATAGAAGAAAAGATATGAAAAATTATTTTAGGGAGTGAGGTCAGTAGGATTAATCTACTGAAAGACAGTCTACCCTACTTTTCAAGCACAGCCAACCAAGTGGAGAGTTTATGTTACAGTCTGCTTTTCAGGCAGTTAGTTTATTCCAAGTAGAGAATTGGGTTCAATCAGTGATAAAAAGTTGCCAGGTTAGTCTGATAAAGAAAAGGAGAGCCAGGGATGAAGCTCAGTGGCACCACACCTGCCCGGCAAGTGCAAGGTTCTGAGTTTGGCTCCCGGTATCAAAAAATAAAGAAAAAGAAAAGGAGAGAGAGGTGCGGTTCCATATCAGGAGGGCTTGTTGAACAATAGGCCATGGATTCTGAACTAAGACAGACACAATTTAAGGACATGACGGGGGTGATAGACAGTGGCAAAAAGTTGGTGGTTTGAGGGTTAACCAACTCCAAATTATGGAGTAAGGACACTAGAATCTCAAAAATATGGAAAAGTACAATTTGATGGCAGAGAGGGAAGAAATTAGGGAGCACCAAGCTCTTTTTGGAATGGGGTACAATTATTGGAAGTGGTCATCTGAGACACTTAGGAGAACAAGATCAGTTGAAATGATGTTAGAGTCATAAGAAACCACCAATTTGGAAAACAATATCTTTTCTAGATGATAGATGGCTATGATACTTTGAAATTTATTGCAAGAGATTTACATTTTCTCGGAGAAAAGTCTTGGTAAACACAGCTCAATAAATAAAAATGACTCCTTTACCCTTTATTCATAATGAAATAAAATATCCTTTAGGTGGGGGCTGTTGGAAAGATGCATTTATATATGAAACTCTTGGTAATGGATTTGGTTTGAAGGATTGTTGTGATTATTCCCAAAAGTAGATATAGGGGAACAATAAAAAATATGACTACAGGGTTTCTGAGGAAAGAATGCAGCAAAAGAGCACAAATAGGAAGAGAAAGACAGAAGTTGAGAGGGTTATGTTAAGACAGCATTGCCCATGGCTTCAGTGGATCTTGCCAATATTGCCCAGAATCCTGCTAACTCACAGTATCTCACAGAAGAGCACCTCAGCCTACAGACAAGTTGGCTGAGGCACCTTGGAAGAAAGGAAGACATTCTGCACAGTCAGAAATTGACTTTACCTGATACATGGGGGAGAATTAGGTAAAATGGTGGCAAGGTCATTTAAAGGGAAGGGTATATAAATAAATAACTCTCTTTGTTTTACAGATTTCTTATGACTCTGCAGATTACTTAGGAACTTCAGAATCTCAAGTAGTATTTCTGGCATTGCTAATAGTAAGAAGACATTTCCTTTTCAACGTTATTCATGAGCGAACACAGCCTTTGCATGGTTTGAGTTTCTTTGAATTGCATCAAATTAAAAACAGCATTTCAGGCATATGAAAGAAAACACACACGCACACTAAGTGACTTTTTGATCTAAATCATTATCATTACAATAATCATGGGGTGCCAAGTGTGAAGTACCAATTCTTAGCAGCATGAGTAGTAGTGGTATAACTTAGTAATGCTACCTTATATTTTCTCTAAATAGCAGAGAAAATAACTTTGAGAGTCTCATAGAATATTGTTCTATGAATAGTGTGAATATTATTATTATTTTAGCCTTGTGAAATGTTATCAAGTGTAATTTTATATATAGATACAGTTGTAGCAAATCATCCAGTTCCTGAAATAAGTTCCAGAATTGAAATACTTGTTTTTATGATGATGTTAATTTTGATTGTCATTCTTTCCCCCTAGCCTTACTTCCAGTTTTTCATTTTCCTTTTTGTTCTACGATGTCTGGAAGGACACATTAGGAAGAAATCGTTGCAAAAGGACCCTGTGTTCAGGTTGATAAAAATCAACAGAATTTCATGTTCAATTTAATATTCGTTCATTAAAGATACTTTAATATGTCTAAATTAATTTTTAAAAGTACCACCTGACCAAGATTATTTTAAGAGACTTTGTAAACTCAGTAAAGTAACATGAATTATAATCATTGTGTATACAGTAATCTAGTGAGAGACCACATTAGCACAGATAAGAATGAAAATTAAGGCAGACTGTGATATTACTAGTATACTTCAGGAAGCTTATATGCAAGGGGTCAAATCTTTAAAATAATGTGCAAGTACAGACAGGCAATTACACAAGTGTAGCCAATCCAGAAAGGAAATGAAGTGTGAGCAGTAAGACAAAGGTTGTGATACATGCCTTCCTCCTGTAGCTGAGAGGAGGCAGCTGAAATGAACTTGAAGGCTTGTGTTGTAGGAGAATGAAAATGAAATTGAAGCTGGATACCAGAGGGTCTTGAAACAGGGAAAAATAAGAAGGTATTATAAGTTACATAATACAAAATTAAGATCAAGTATGTCTTGAACACCAAGCTTACCACCCAAAATGAATATCAGGCTCAAATTTAATGTTGAGGACAGAGTAGAATGTGAGAACATGTTTTGGAAAGCCAAATAAATGCATTTATTTGAGGTGGCTCAAGGGAGAAATGTAGGAATTAGCAGGACTCAGTGAGGGGTGATGAAAAAAGGAATTAGTGAGGGAAGAGTGAGTCTGACACAAATTCCCAAGAAGTGATCCTGCTCAATAACTGAGTAGGCACTGGAATGGTGATTAGATGTCCTAAGTTTCCTGGGACCATCCCTGACTCTGAGAGTTTTGATCCATCGTTCTCATGAAACTCCGCCTCAAAATCCTTTTGCCACAGAGGGTGTGTTAATTTATTATTTCGGGGGGAAAAAAGCTACCATAACCATCAAGGAGAATTAAACTTAGGTAAAAATCAGAGATGCTATAAGTAGCATCAGTTAATTCTTTGACAGTAACGAGGCTGTTTCAAAGGTGAATGAGAGAGTTTCAGAACGAAAATTTGCTGTGCTCCTTGTTAATCTACTCAAATAATTGATTGCAGTTCACAGAGAATTCATTGCTTTTGCTAAAAGCTTTTCAACTGGAAACCTATCACTATCATGCCATTTTGATTTTAGAATTTCTCCAAGAAGCAGTGATGTTTTTCCAAACCCAGAAGAACCTGAAGGAGAAGATGAAGATGTTAACATGGAAAGAGTAAGAACAACAAATGCTATGGCCGTCTTGGATGAGGAAGAGGTAAAAATTACAAAAATATTCTTCATCAAATCATTTTGGCTGTCAGATAAAGTGAGCAACTTTCTAGTTCTAATTTTTGAAAAGCACTTGAGGTTCTTTTGTCCTTACTCATGTAATTTATTATTTGACTTCAGGAGGTATGCAGTACCCACAGAGCTAAGAGAGAAAGGGAAACACGAACACACACAGAGATTAATTTGTTAATTTACTTTTCAAAGTCATAGTTTTGATAAGTACAGCAAAATGTTATAGAACTTAAGTACGATTTTGAGTTTTGTAGTTCAACTAAAGCTTAATGCAAGGAATCAGGAAGAGACAGCTCAACTGAGTTGTATGTATTTATATGCATACGTGTGTACGAGAGAGTATGTGTCTTAAATCTATTGATTCAGTGAATGCTTTTATTCCTTCTCTCTGAAGAAGAGCTAGCACAAATCACGATATTATGCCAGTGTCCCTTTTCTGAAGGGATATAAATTTGAGAGAATTCACTTGACAGTGTCAAGCTCTAGGATTGGTTTTTTCCATGGTCTTGAATAAAGAAAGGTTTGCTAGAAAGGAGTACAGAGTATTCTTTTTTTTATTCATGAACTTTATTGGTACCTTTTAGGTAGACATTATGATCACATTCACCATAGGGAATTTTTGATATAGCTTGGTTTTTATTTTTTCCCATTCCCTTTCCCTCCCTTCAACTTCTCCATCCCTCCCTATTTACAAAAGCTTCGTCTCCATTTTTCCTTCTTTTCTCTTTTTTTCTTTCCCTTCTTTCCTTCCCTTCCCCCCATTAGTTTTCCTTCCCCTTTAAACATTTTCTTCTTATTTCACAGTATATCTTATCCATTTTGGTCTTCATTTACACTTTCCATATCTCACTCCAGAGAAACAATTCAGTATTTACACATGTATGTTCTATTTATTTCACTTAAGAGTATGATCTTTCTTTATGGCAGAGTAATACTCCATTGTATTAAAAAAAAAACCATATCTTCTTTATCCAATCACCAGTTGATAGGCATTTGGGATGTTTCCAAGATCTAGCTATCACAAACTGTGCCGCCATAAACATGGATGTGCATATATTGCTGTGGTTAATTCTTTTCAGAAGATACCGAGAAGAGGAATAGCTGGATCAAATGGAACCTCTAGTTTTAGTTTTTTTGAGGAATCTGAGTATGGAGTATTCTTAATTCAAGGAGAGAATAATGTCCCATTACTATTGTCTCGTCTTTCCAGAAACCAGTTATCACTGCCAGCTGTCTCCGGAAGGAATATGCAGGCAAAAAGAAAAATTGCTTTTCCAGAGGGAAGAAAAAAATTGCCACAAGAAACGTCTCTTTCTGTGTTAAAAAAGGTTGGAAACAACAGTTCTGCTATTAGAGCGATCTTGGCCTCTAAAGATTGGATCTTTCTAAGGCATGAAGAGTATCTGAATCTGGAGTTATCTAGTGATGAACAGAAAAGGCAGCCGACTCGTCATCACACTAAGGCTGCTCCTTCCTGCTTAGAAACCACACTTATACTTACAGTTTTGCTTTGCACATGAAGATTCTGTGTCTGTTTTGTTCAAAAAAACAACAATAACAACAAAAGAGCCAGTTTTTCTGTTAAAAACAATGATATAGGTTCTGTTTACTTTTTTCAAATATACATTAACGTTTACATTTTTATGGTGCTGGGGATTGAACTCAGAACCTCACACATGTTAGGTAAGTGCTCTACCCCTGAGCTACACGTCAGCCCTGTATAGATTGTAAAGTAGTGTAACTTCATAACCTAAGGGAACTGCCTGAGGCATAGTAACACATTTTTCGTTCCTAAAAATAGCACATGTTACAGAAGTGCTTGTTAAGTGCAACAAGCTTTGGAAAGTTTGTTTCAAATTCCAGCTCAGCCTCTTATAGGCTGTATGACCTTAGGCAAATTATGTATGCTCTATAAGTCTCAGCTTCCTCACTTGAGAAAGAAAATATGAACCATGTAATAAACAGTAGGTGTGTGTATGGGGGGAGAATAAGTGAAATAAGATACATAGCACATTTCACATAGTGCTCGACAGTTAGGGTCCACAAACGGTGTTTGCTATTGGCTGATTGATTGATTGTGTTACTGGAGATTGAGCCCAGGGCCTTCACACTGAGCTACATCCCCATCCCTTTTTTAGGTTTTTATTTTGAGACAAGGTCTTATTGCCTAGGCTGGGCTCAGACTTGCACCCTTCCTGGCTCAGCCTCCCAGAGGGTTGGTGTTGCGGGCATGTGACACCGTGCCTGGCTTGCTTTTATTTTTGTTGTAATTATCTATGCATACCTATTTCTTTCAGGTGAAGTTGTAGGGCTTTTGGGACACAACGGAGCTGGTAAAAGTACAATGATTAAAATGATAACTGGAGATATAAAACCAACTGCAGGGCAGGTCAGTAAAACTCATAGAAATATGGTCATTAATGTTCCCTAGAACAAATATTTTACAATGAATATTGATGGCAATCATAAAAACATTTGGATAGTCCATAAGCAATTTGTGTGACTTATGCACTGAATGAAGAGGATTGATTAAAAATTTTTCTCCCGAATTCCAAAAATAGTTGATTGATGAGAAAGTCTATTGTTTTCTATACTCGGTGAAAAAATAGAGCTATTAAAGGGAAATATATATTGCTGAGATCAGAAGTCTTTGTTTTGTTGAATTATCTATAACTAGAACTTGTTAAATTGAATTATCTAATCCAATTTCACACCAGAAACCACTGTGAGAATAATGATAAGGCCTGCTCATGTGGTTATAGTCATGAATCTTCATATTTAATAACTTTTCTGTTTATGTGTTGTAATTAAAGATTCTATGTGACATTTTGTAATAATGAGTTCATTAGCAAGTAGAACTGCATAAGTCTCTACAAGGTGCATATGCAACAGAAACTTCCTTGTAATTGTTGGGGCACATTTTGGCCCATTGGATACAAGGATGTGGCCAGTAATAGGTGAGAAATTGCCCGCAGAAGACAGCACCGTAAATCCATTGAAGTTCTTGAAGCACAGTCATAATGCAGGGCTGGTGCTAAGAGACTCAGGATCTATTAAGAGCATAGATATTATATGGAAGAAAAACATTGATAATTGTCAAAATTCCAAAGCAAAAAACCAGTAATACATGCATCTTACTTGGCTAGTCCAATTTGGGTAAAATGAGGGTTAGAGACCTAAGGACTACAATTTCAGAGGGAAAATGCTCTTGACATTTGATACCAGGTAAAAGTCAGAAGGAGTGTGGAGAAGGAATGTTGTGAGGTGGTGATGGTTGCTACAAGCATTTTCTAAATTGTCTTTCCATTTTCATTTTTAACCTTACAGAGCAGCTACAGCAGTCCTTTAAAAATGCAAATGATGCCTTGTCACTCTCCAGATTACAACCTCTGACTTAAAATTGATTCAAAAATTTTTACCATGGCTGCAAAAGGCTTGGCATGGCATGGGCTCTGTTGGCAGCCTTTCATATCCTGTACCCTTTGCCAGATTGGCTTTCTGTCACCTTTGCATTGCAGTTTCTTTGGGCTTGATCTACTGGTGTGCCCTGCCCTCATGTGCTTAGTTATCACCTCATCACTAAAAAATCTACCTCCCTAAAAGACCTTTTCCTAATTACTGATTACTCATGAAGAAAAGACATTTAGCTCATGGTTTAGAAAATGAAAATCCAAGATTGAGCAGCCTCATTGTTTCAACCTCTGATGAGGACCCAGCCGTGATGGGTCGTAGCAGGAGTGTGTGTGAGTGGGAGAGATCACATGATCAGACAGGAACCCAGAGACAGAGGGAGATCCCCCAACTCCTCCTCAAGGCACACCCCAGTGACCTTGACAACCTCAGAACTTTCTACAAGGCTCTACTTTTTGCTACATTAAATTCTCCATGTTATTTTTAGGAACATTTGCTTCCTTGAATGGATTAAGAAGAGGACTTAATTAGTCCATTTATGTATTTACTTGTTAATTTTTTGTTTCTATTTCTAGAATGCAAATTCTATGAGGCAAAGCTAAGTTGTTTTCTCCTGCTTTGTATTTGGGGAGACAATATAGCATCAAGGTTAAGGGCACGGGCTCTGAAGGTTGATTCCAGCTGCAGTCATCATATTCTCTTCTTAAAATTTCTTAATCCACATGTGTGTGCATTTTCTCCTATGTAAAACAGTAATGATGAAGTTAACGCATAACATATGTAGGGTTTCTGTAAAGACAATGTAATTCAAAATATATAAAATGCTTAGATTCTGGCATATGGCAAGCATGGAGTATATATTATCTATTTAAGTTATTGGATAGCACAGAGCCTGGCTCATAAAAATAACGAATGTTGGCATAAATTAACTGGGTTCCTTTGTACCATCATGGTAAAGGCTTTTCATATATTATTTAGTTCAGAATTTCTCAACCTTAAAATGGGCTGGATAATTTTTGTGTGTAGTAGGATGTTTAGCAGCATTCCTGACCTCTACCCACCAGGTGCGGGTAGCACCCTTCCCACCACAGATATAAACACAAGTTGTGATACCAAATATATCCACGGATATTACTAAATGTACTCTGGGAGGAAGATTGTCCCTGACTGAGAACCACTGCCTTATTGTTAGTCAGATCCTATACTTATAACTATTTATGACTGGGGAAGCAGAATCCTTAACAAGTATCTATTCTTTTGAATTTTCAGATCAGTGAATAAAGTCAGGTGATGAACCACCAAATAAGCCACCTGGAATTCAACCTTACTAATGAAACTGGTAGTAGGTGTGAACTATAATGGAAGAATATAACAATATGAAATATTGCCTTTTAAATTATTGTGGTTTGTAATTTTCCCAGAGCTATATTTAGTAACTTTTAAAATTTTGTATTTATTTACTTTTATACCCTTAGCACCCATGTATGTACATGAAGGGAACTCCCTGAAGTATACACTCACATGCACATACACACACAATTCTGAACAGAACTAGAAAATGAACTTCTTTTGTTTAGGTGATTTTGAAAAGGAGCAGTGAAGGGGACACCCAGGAGTTCTTGGGGTACTGTCCTCAGGAGAATGTGCTGTGGCCCAACCTGACAGTGAGGGAACACCTGGAAGTATATGCTGCTGTGAAAGGGCTGAAGAAAAGGGATGCCACGGTCACCATTACACAGTACGTGAGCGAACCACATGCATTTTATCTTGGGGGGATGTGATGTTAATGGTGTTGCAAACAAAACTCAAGAACACAAAATTAAAGATACGAGTTTCTAATAAATGATCCCTTGCTTGTGGGAAAAGTCTTGATCATCTAGTACCCAGATCAATATCATTTTCTCTAACTCTAAGCCTAGAGGAAAAATGGTTACTGATTATTCTTAATATGGGAAGAAGCCATTGAAAGTATGAGCATGACATCCAAGAAAGAGTCATAAAATATCTACATTATTCAGTTTTGTCTTACTATGATGAAATACCTAAAGCTAGTGACTCTCAAAGAAAAGAGACTTAGTCCATGGTTTAGAAAGTGAAAATCCAAGATTGGGCAGCCTCATTGTTTCAACCTCTGATGAGGACCCAGCCATGATGGGTCATAGCAGGAGTGTGTGTGAGTGGGAGAGATCACATGATCAGACAGGAACCCAGAGACAGAGGGAGATCCCCCAACTCCTCCTCAAGGCACACCCCAGTGACCTAGACAACCTCAGGACTCTCTACTAGGCTCCATCTTTTAAAGGTCCACACCAACTCCTACGGTCACCACATTGCCAATCTCCCAATGCGTGACCCTTTAGGGGGCAAACTACATCTAAACCGTAGCATATCCTCAATGGTTTCACAGTTAGTGACCATCCTGGTGACTCTTTACTTTTCTCCACTATAATGTTTTGATTTGCTTGTTCTCCTACATCCAATCCTCATTGCTCCTGGGTAATGAAGTTTGATTCACTCTGTTTCCTTCAGGTTGGTGGAAGCCCTCAAGCTGCAGGACCAGCTGAAGACACCTGTGAAGACCTTGTCAGAGGGAATAAAGAGAAAGGTATACAAGGGCTTGGTGTGGCTCTATTCACCCACAGCCTGGCGCTGACAGGCTGTCCCTCTTGTTCCAGCTGTGCTTTGTGCTGAGCATCCTGGGAAACCCATCAGTGGTGCTTCTGGATGAGCCATCCACTGGGATGGACCCCGAGGGCCAGCAGCAGATGTGGTGAGGAAATACATGTGTAGCCCCTATGTGTATTAATGGCTCCTTTAGTAAATGCCTTCAAAATCATTATTTACTGAAAAAGGATAAGTCACTCATCCACTATGAAAAAAAGCAACATTAAGGAAAAAATAGCCCTACGATCAGTTTTTATTGAGGAGAAAAAGATATACTCTTTCAACTAAATATCCATTCTAAGAATTTTATTTTCTTCATAAGTCTTCTGGGTATGCATGGGGCATAGTCAAATCAATCAGTTACTAAACTTTAACTCTTTCTGCAACATCACCTAACATAAAACTCATATGGAGAGTAAAGGAAACATTCCAAATCCTCAATATATTCTTTAATTATTTTAGGAAATTTCTGCCATTTTGTACCTTTTAGTACTTGTTGTGATTATCACACATTTTAGTAAGTTCCACTTTCTGTCTTCCATCTGCCTTCTCAGAAACACTGTTCAAACTCAGAAAGTTGCTAAATAACTTTTACCCAATACCATATTGTATGTTCAGCCCAAACCAGTTGCCAAATTATAACCAATAATTTGGTTATTTCTCTGCTTCTTATCCCTACCATCATCCTGGTTTGAGTCAACTCTGAATTCATTAACTGTTGCATATGTGTGAAAAGGGAAATTTCTTTTTAAAAATTTCTACCCTACCTTGGACAGTACTTTTATTTATTTTCCTTTAACCTAATTCTAGGCAGGCAATCAGGGCCACCTTTAGACACGCGGAGAGGGGCGCCCTCCTGACGACCCATTACATGGCGGAGGCCGAGGCTGTTTGTGATCGCATAGCCATCATGGTGTCCGGGAGGCTGAGGTGAGGGCTCTGCAGACCGACCCTGGACCCACAGGTCACAGCACACCTCCTCTGTGAGAAGCTGGAGATGCTGCTTCTGGCTCTGGGGGTGCTGTGGCCTTGGCCTCCAGAGGCTGGACGGCACTGGTCAGAGTATGCTCCCTTACCTTCTTGACTGCCACTTCTGACCTCCAGGTGTATCGGTTCCACCCAACACCTAAAGAGTAAATTTGGCAAAGACTACCTGCTGGAGATGAAGGTGAGGACCCTCACGCAGGTGGAGCCCCTCCATGAAGAGATCCTGAGGCTCTTCCCCCAGGCTGCTAGGCAGGAAAGGTAAACACACGTGTTGCCCAATCTTGGTCTTTGGTTGATTTTCAGTTACAGTGATGAGGAAGAAGACCTTTTTCCTCTTATTCTTTTGTTTTTTGTTTTTTAATTGTCAGTACTCTAATAACTAGAGAAAGGTCTCATTCTAAAGGCTACTACAGGAGAAGAATGAGATAGCAAACTACTGATTTAGGGACTGAGCATTATCTTGTAAGGGAATGAGCATTCATAGGAGCGCTGCAACAGGCCAGGTCCTAGTGTGTGCATGTGCTTCCATCTTCTCAGTGGCCCTTTCTAGACAGCAAAACCATCCCCTATTAAAGGAGATTCCCTGTACAAAGCCCATACCACAGAAGCAGCATCAGTCAAAGCTCAGTGGATTGTAACTCCTAGAATTTTTATTATCTTCGGTAATACCAGTTAAGGCTCAGGTAGGTTAATAGGTTAAGTAATATTTACTTAAATGGTTTTATCTTCATGTTAAGGCCATGGAAAAGTAGTCCTGTTTGCTTCATTCTTAAGGCTTCATGCTATTGATTTCTTCCCCTGTCTCCCAATTCTCCTCTTAGTAGATTGACCTCTAGTTGATCAAAGAGCATTTATACCTCTATGGTTGTCTCCAAGACCATACATACATGTATGTTTCAAGAGATTATTCTCAAGATTATTCTCTGTTTAAGACATGCACCAATGGAGGTTGTGACCTTGGAATCTGGAGCTCAGCCTCATTATTCACTTTTCAGGTACTCCTCTCTGATGGTCTACAAGTTGCCTGTTGAAGATGTACAACCTTTATCACAGACTTTCTCCAAATTAGAGATCGGTAAGTGATTGTTTAGAGATCAGACTTTGAGAAATAGAAGAAACGCAAACCAGAATTAAAAAACACATAAACCTAGAATTGTAATTTTTTTACCATAAATAAATTACTAAGACTTCCAAGGCAATGGTTTGTGAAAAGGGGTGATTTGACCAAGTGTGGGGATAATTAGTCCTAGAGGTAGGGAGACAGGGTGCAGCAGTCTTCGAGTGAACGGAGGCCAGGCTTGATGTTAGACACTCCACACTGCACAGTCAGTCCCCACAAGAAAGAATGATCTGACTGAACTGTTATTGGAGCTGAGGTTGCCCTGGCCCAACAAAGCTCTGGAGGAAAGAGACCACTGACATTCAAGGCTGGAGTGTCCCAAAACGTAAACAAACAGAAAAACAGAAATTTGTTTTTTGTTTTGAGGTCTTCTTGGGTAGCATTTGACACTGGTGAGATGGTTCCTCTCTGTTTGAGTGAGCTAATCTGTGGCTCTTTTTAGGCACTGCATTTGCTTTTCACAGATTGCATTGATCTCACTCAGCGTAGCTTCTGCCTGTCGTATCAGTGTCCGGGTACTAACCCCAGTGAGTCACATATTTTCCCTGGAGCTCTTGAGCTGTACTTTCTGACTTCTTACCTATCTGCAAAACCATGCAGACCACAGGCTTCCCAATTCCTAAGGAGAGGCTTCTCCTTGGAAGGGTTAGTTTTTCATACTGATCATTTTTCCTTCATGGCCAGTTTTGCATCATTCCAGCGCGAAGGATTTCCACAGTGGTTTCTCATGTGTTTTGTAATGAATTAGCAGCAGAGAGATGGAGAAAAACTGCCTCCCTAGAATACAATTGAACATTTCTTTAAAAGGCCCTAATATTTCTGCTTTCAAAAATGTTCTCTCCTATTCCCAATTGCTTCTGTTCTGCTTAATTTATTAAAACTGAGCTTTTTATTTTGGGGAAAAAACTTTTAACCATAATTTCTTACTCTAGTTACATGAATATGACACAATGTACAAAATGCGGAAACATGAACTAGAGCTTTTTTCTCAAACTGTTATTAGACATCATTACATTCTCAGCAGCAATATGGACTTTATGGAGTTGACTAGGCCCGGTACTGTGCAAGCAAAGTGCACATCTTGTGGCACTTTCTTTTTCTGGCTGCATAGATCCTTCTTCTACATCAGATCACATTTGAGTCATACAAACTCCAGCAAAACTTGAGTGTTACATGCCTCTCCCAGCTCAGACTTGCCCTACTTTGGAGATCTGCAGCTGGAAAGATGGCATGGTCAGCTGTCTCTCTTTTTACTCTTTTCTCTTCTTGACTGATAAGCTGATATTCTGTGTCTCTCCAGGGTGCAGTGAAAGGGGAAGGGAGAAGAGATAATAAGGAGCAAAAGTTGATCATCAGAGCTGTAGTGTGACGCCAGGGTCTCCTGTGTAAGAGTGCAGTAACTGTGCAATATCTCAAGGCTAGAAACAGCAAGACTGTCATTGCCTTAGGTAAAGGTACAAAACACAGAAATGGTGATTGGAACCTGGGAGTGGAATCATGCAGAATTTGCCACCTTGACACAAATAGTGACTGTCCATCGAGGGATACACTTGGTGTCAGGCAGGGAGTGAAAGAATAAATGCCATGAGCCCCCCTTGTCTCGTGTCCCTTCTGCTAAGCTTTCCATTGGTAGAATCTACTAGAAGACATATTTCAAGGCAGCCTCTGGAGAAGAATGAGGGCTGGGAAAGAGATAAACATGGTAGTTTTCCAGCTCAGAGGAAACCATCCCTTAGCTGCACCTCCTTGAAAGCTCTGCAGCTTCTAATAGAGTTTTCCAATCTTCTGGTGCTTCCATCAAAACTCTAAGAAAGTGGGACAGTATTTCCATCCTACTGAACTATTTATAGTGCATTTGGATTCCCATATTTAGTACAAAAATATTTGTGATCAGATATTTTATATTTAAGGTCAATGTTTTGACCTTGACAAAGTAAAATTCTCCAAATAAAAAATATATAAGCACCTAATGTATATTCATCCTTGTGCAGTTAAACAGAGCTTTGACCTGGAGGAGTACAGCCTCTCGCAGTCCACCCTGGAGCAGGTGGGTCCATCTCAGTGATCTTCTGTCACCCATGAAATCCAAGTGCCCACAAAGGCTACCTTGTGCACATGGTTGATGCCATAGAAGGCAGCCTGACATCCCTCTCCTTTATGTTTTTTCTTCCATTACAGCTTTTCCTGGAGCTCTCCAAAGAGCAGGAACTGTATGACTTTGAAGAGGAACTGGATCCCTCTGTGAAGTGGAAGCTCCTCCCACAGGAGGAGCCCTAAAGCTTCATGCTCTGCTTCTCTTAAAGCTCATGACACTTTTTACGACAATGTTCTATGGCACTACTAGGCCTTATCTCAGATATGGCACAAATTACTTTTGAAACTCATGTGCTAATTTTTTTCAATAATATAGTGGGGCTGGTGGATAAAGTTAGGGCACTGAAGCCTGAGATTAGACCATGCCACCCAGCCACATCCCATTTTATAGGGTTATTTAAACCAGCATTCATGATATATTTGTTTATGTGTCTGAGGATGATACAAAGACCACTTACTTTTCTTTCCATGAACTTAAAATATTGAATATTTTCTTATCTTTTTTGTTAAGTGTACAATCAGACATAATACTGACATTAAGGGAAAGAGATTACCTAATGGCACAGATTTTGCTTTTTGTAATTTTCATTTTTTTAAGCAGTTCTTAGTTCTCTGATTCTTTTTTTAAATCATTTTCAGATTTTAGCTTGTAGAATATTGTTTTTTCTATTGTGACTATGAAAGGAATTTGAAATCTGTTAAGATACATGTTTGCAATATAAATTTGAATGTTCCAAGTTAATGGGACATATTATGATGTATTGTTACGTGCAAACTTGAAACCTTCCATATATATATATATATGAGATGAAAGGTTGTACTTTTCTGTTACAGACTAAAACTTCATTATTTCATTGGTCTTAATTTACCATACCTATATATAGTATGACCTATACCACTAACCCTAAGCCTAACCATGTAATACCTTAAAATGTGTTACACCTGACCATGTAACACCTTGAAATCAATACAATAAATTGTACATTTAATGTAGTACCATTTCTGTTTTATTACCACTATTACTGTTTCTAGCTATCTGAACATTCAAAGGCAGTTATATGGAAAACCTGTACTTTTATTCTAGTGTTTCTTGAATCTTTCTAGTTCATGAAAACCACACTGGCATCACTCCACTCACAGGAGAGCTTGAGCAAAGGGCCCCAGCTTTCTTATTTCAAAAGGGGGACTTACCACCTGTTGAAAACTACAGTTCACTTTACTTACCTTGGTACTAGAATAAATGTTCCTTGCAATAAGCCAAATAGTGCAAATACTGTATTAAAAGTCTTTCCCCCTAAATAAATCACAACTTTCTAAGACTTAATTCAATTGTACCATGAAAATTCTGTTAGATCAGGAAGCATTTTAGTGAAGCACTTTTTTAAAATGACAAAGTGTATATAATGCTATATTATGACAGCTGGCAAAGAAGTGTGTAGCACATCACTTTAATATCCTGTGGGCATATTTCTCAGGCTAAAAAAACAAAGCAAAAATGCTAACAATTTGAGTGAGAATCTTTTAAGAAAAATATTTGTATCTATCAGTCCTATAAAAGAAATTAAAACCTTAGATTTAGGCCACAGAACTTCAGAAATTTGACAGTTTTGGAAGCATAATAAGATAATGGCAATGTTAATTTCATTTATAAGAAGACTAAGAATACATTATATGCTAAATTTTGTGTCTATATTGACTATTGTATGCAAGCCTCGTAATAACATCGAGATAATTATTTTTGTTTATATTTTTTATTTGGGAAGCAGAATTTCTAAAATGGTTTACTAATCTCTAGACCCGGTGGATATGATGTGATATTGCCCCATTGTGTCTGTTGTAATGTGTGACACAATTCACATTAACACGGAAGGTTATCTGGGTGGGCATGGAGAGATTAGATTATGTGATTTAGTCTCCTGGTCCCTTAAAGATGGAAATGGTTTCTTTAGATAGTGGCAGCAGGGGAAGTCATGCAAGTTCAAGGTAAGAGGAAAACTTGAGGCTTGGTGTCTATGTTTGAAGATGGGGGAGGCACGGGAGGAGGAATGTGAGTGTCCTATAGTATTTGACAGACAACAGACAGAAGGAGAAAAACGGAACCGTGACTAACTACTTGGTATTATGAAGCTACTGAGATTATTGAGTATTTGCTGTTGTTTTTATAATAAATAGCATTACAACGACTAATGTAGTAGTTGATACCAAGAAAAAGGTGAGATGAAAAACCTGGAAGAAGTGTTTCTCATGCAGGGTGCAATTGCCAGAGACCTTTGAGCTGTCCCCAGTCCTCTACTGGAACAGAACCCTACGAGGGTGACCATTCCCACTAAGACACTTAGGGACCACCATGCTGGGGCTGAAGGATAGGAGAGCAAAACAAACCCCTGGACACCATGAAGCATTACCACTTCTAGCATGCTATGTTACTTCTCTACCCTTGTGCTTTTCTCAACAAACCTGTCATGGGACCATGATAAAATCACAGAAGCAAAATGTTTAACAGAACACGTGAATCATTACAGAAGAAAAAAAAGTAAATAAATCCTCTAGTTCCACTTGCTCTTACTAGACTTAAATATCACTAATTGTAAAGATCACACAGCAGGGTAATACATTATAGTTTCTCAAACACCTCTGAAGTCTAGGTTTTGATAACAGTTGCCTAGATTATTTCTTGGGGATCTAAAGGCTGCTTTTGCTGAAAACATTGACTTTTCACTTGAGCCTCAGAAATCTGATGGGTGACTGCAGTGGGATGAAAGTTTGACGTCTCTGTCTTCATTTACTCCCTTAACCCTTGTGTACCAGTCGGTGCTCACTAGAGAAACAAATCTTATGCAAGATATATAAATATGAGGATTTACAAGGTAGGCTTATAATGGCTGCTCCCAGAGTCAGGTGTGGAAGAGTGCAGAAGGGCTGTCTGAACGATGGAGCTATGAAGGATCCAGGAGAAGGTCAAAGGCCTGGAGCTCACTGCAGAGTCCTGTACAAGTCCATGTCAGGAGGCTGAAAGGTCTGCGCTGGAAGCCAAGAAACAATGTCCAAGGTGAAGCTGTAGGCTGGAGCTCCTCCAAAGAAACAGAAGCCAGCCTTCCTCCTTCATGTCCCTTCTATTCCATTCAGGAGACAACCCTACCCGGGGTGGGACTTCTGTCTTCAGTAAATCCCTTTATTGGAGTTATATGCCATTATTGAGTTCTATCCATGGCAATTTCATATCCAGAACTATGCTGATCCAATCTGGTAGGGCATTTCTTATTCAGGTTGACAAATCAGTATGTATGCTTGTAATATTTGGCCCCATCTCATTTCTGTTGTTCCCATTTTCAAAGATCCTATTGTGCAGTGCCACCATTATTTTCCTACTTGTTTATCTGTGTTGACTCTGCTTGTTTATACTTTCTTTACTTCCTGTTTGCACTATAACCATCTCCAAATTGTCTAACCAAGAGATAGTAATTTATCTATTACTGGCACTCATATAAATTTTCTCTTGTTTTGATTTATTAAATTATATCTGTGGAAATTTCAAAGCAAGAGAGTTAAAATCTTGCATTAAAATTGCTATCTTGAAATAAAACACTTACTGAGGGACAAAATACCTCTTTGGGTACAAGCGATGCAGTCATGACATAATTGGAGACCACCATAAGAAAAATGGAAACAGGCAGCATCCTAACCCCTTTTTTGCTCTTCATTAAAAGCATGATTCTCCTGGAACAGCTAGGTATTTAAAAGCTGTTTGGTTTTTTGTTGTTGTTGTTGTTTTTATGAATCATGACTCTTCATTTGGATCTACACATAACCAATAGGTAACTAAAAGCAAAACGAGTTCTGGGTTTCATTTTGTATCCTTTGTTACTGTTAATCTGGAGTCAAGTCTCTTTCTAGTTCTGCATATAGGTATGTTAATCATTTGGGGGGTGTCTGTCTAAAATTTGGCAAAACAAGGTTGATAAGCCCTGAGTTTACATATTCTCACCTTGTTTAAGATTGAGGACACCAGGTCGGAGGATTACCAGGACATTTAGTCCTGCCATGAAGTTTGTAGCCATTGTCCTGAAGTTGTCATCATCTGAAAATGAGACCACCCCTCAGTCAAAAGGATTTCAGAACTATGACACCAGAATGTAATAGCACTCAATGGGACCCCAGCCCACAAACCAATCCTTGAAATCTGGCTACCTTACATTGTGGGTAGGCCTGTCTGAAGCCCTGTATCAGTATGCCCCTTCCAGCTACCTAAGTTAGAGTCCCTCTAACTTTCCAATCAAAACTTTTCACCCTTGTAGATTTATGCTTTAGTTTTAATTTTCATTATTACTAAAAGCAAGAACCCAAGCTAGCCAGAGGTAACACAATTTAAGCCAAGACACAATGTGTTCAGATGGGTCCACTCTGATTTGTATTATACAGTAGATCTAGACTTTTGTTGTACTGAGTAAATGTTTGGAGCATTTGAAGTAAAAGGCAAACATAATTTATCCTGTGGGCTTAATAAATGAAACATTGCAATGACTATGAATAGATAATTTTAGTGATACTTCATTTATCTATTTTATATGAGATGCAAATTTCTCAACAGTGTCACAACTAACATTTTGTCCTGCAAAATTCTTTTTTGGGTGGTGATGAAAGTTTGTGTACTGTAGAACATTTAGTGGCATCCTTGGTCTCTACCCACTGGATGCCAGTCCCATTCCCACATGAGTGTGACAACCCAGGATATCTGAAGACATTTTCAAAATTGTACTATGTTGACCTGTTTATTACATCAACCACTTGATAATTTTATTGCATTGAGGTAAAGTAAAAAATGAAGAGTTCATGGCCATGAATCTCCTTTTTATAGGACTTTTGGTTTCTGGACCACAGTACAAAAACTGTTCTTATGGAACAAATCTAGTAAATTAGCGATAAAAATGATCAATAATCAAGAAGTATATGTAAACATTGCAATAACCTTTGTTTGAAGTTCACATCTCTGAATATTTTTAAGAGAGCAGAGGCCTCGGTTGCACAATAGTCTGTAAATTATTTCTGTGAGGGAAAATAAAGTACTCAATTAACTGAGGTCTATAGTGAAATCTCCAAAAGTAAATGTAGCGACAACTACCAGAAATAAAGTGAAATCCTACTTTGTAGGGGTGGTATTCCACCAGTTACAGAAGGAAAAGCCATGTCTTGAGAATCTTGATAGAAAAGGTTCATGTTGAGGTTAATGTTATCAGCTTAAAAGGAAAGAAATTCTTACTCTGCACTGAATCTTCCTTACCTGGAACTTGAGGATACACTTAGCTCATCCATTAGCAACTATCTCAGGATTCTGAATAGTAAAGGACCTCAGAGATCTTATCATTATTTGCTTATTTCACAAGTTAGAATGTGACAGATAACATTACTTGTTTACAAAAATATAGGTGTATCTCAGGTCATGACTAATATTTGCAAATTTAGCTTCAGAAAGTACAGTGACAATGGAAATTAATTTTTTTAATACTCTGAGCTATGTAAAATGAAATATAAGATCTAATTGTAGGCTGGATAATGACTTACATAATGAATATACATTAATAAATGTATATTCTATTTCTCATATTTTCTCTTTTCCCTTCTTTCCTTTCCCCTATCCCTCCCACTTCCCCTACTCCTTTAGACCTTTTCTTCCTATTTCACATTAACTGTATTGTATACCTTAAATGTACCAATAAACTTAATGAAAAAATGTATATTAAATTTTAATTTGTTTGATCAAGACCAAAGTCTTTGCTATGGTTGGCTTATTTGGATTTTCATTCTTATCTACATAGCTCCATGCCCTTTGTGAACCACATTGCTTTGTTTATGACCTTTTGCGTTGAGCACTTATTTAAGATGAGGCCCAGTGACTAATGGTGCTGAATTTGGGAAGTGAACTGGAAAGGGTGAAAAAGACTGTCCATGAAAATAAAAACAGGACTGTACCCACTGGGCATAGTGGTGCATGCCTGTGATCCCAGCACTGGGGAAGCTGAAGCAGGAGACCACCCTGGGCTACACAGTGAGTTCAAGACCACCTGAACCACACAGCAAGATCCTGTCTAGAAAAACAAAAACAAAAAGAAAGAAATTTTAAAAAAAGAAATGCAATGATTATAAAATATAAAATTAAAAATTGAAAAAATAAATAAAACTGAAAAAGTGGAAAATTGAGGTAAAAATGTTTGTATCAGATAATCCAGATTTGTTATTGCCCTTTTCATTCTTCATCTTCAACTAAACTTAAGTTATTCTGTCGCTTTGAGTAGCTCAGCTTACTCACTAATTGATTATTTTCTCACTATTTTTAAATTTTTTCCTGGCAATTCTTCATGTCATTCATTTACATTATCAAAAGAGAACTTATAATCTCAAAATCTAGCCATAGTATGTTCTGCCTTCTAACTAGCCAACTTCATTGTCTTTATCACTTAGACTATATACTCTTTAGCCACATTTTATCTTCCGACTCTGACTTTCCACCACACCCATCCTAAACTACCCAACCAGAACCTGCAGTTCTTTATTCCTTCACTTGTTAAGTTGGGCATTGTCAGAAAAAAATATTTCTCATGCTTGCCAAATGCAACAAAACTGTATATATGTGTATATTATCCACATTCCTTGTTATCCTGTGGAATCAGTATTCCTGGGGACTCAATACATAGGCAAAAAATCACAGTGTCTTCATCATAATTCCTGACATCATTGCTGGTGTTTCAACATCCGACTTGATGACCCAGTGTTCTACTCAGCACTCTGGTGTGTCATTTCCTCGGCTTTCGCATTTCCTCTAATCTTTTTCTTCTTTTCTCCTCTGTCACTGCCTCCTCCACCCTCTAACACACCAACGAATTATATAGCTCAGGATATCAATTGTGTTCAGGTTGAGAAACTCTCATAGAAGTAAATACTGTACAAAAATGAGGTGAAGGAATGAGGTTCAAAATGATTAGATTATTTAACTAGACACATCAGCCAGGAGATCCAGGACTCCTGGGTAGAGATAAAAGCCTTTTCTCTAGTCTTTTTAGTTTTTACTGTTTAATGTTAGTATCTTATATTTTGAAGTATGCTAATTTCTCCTGGGGCATAGAAAAATTACAAATACTGGATTCTCTCAGCAATAGAGCTCTTTAGAATCCTGAAACAACCAGCCAACCAAATACAGCTTGTTGGTCTCTGCTGCAGAAACTGGCTGAAAGTCAATAAAAGGAATTTGTTCAAGAGTGATCACGTGAATTCGATGTTCAGCAAGCCAAGAAAATTGCAACTGTGCTCTCTCTAAAAAGCAGTCTGATTGGGAGCTTTCAGAGCAGACAGAGTTCAAGTATAAGAAAGATGTATAGACCAGTAAGAAATGTGAACCATTTTCTTGGAAAAAACAAGACCCAAGAATGAACTGAGTTTATAGGTCACTTTCTTCAGAAACCCCAAAAGTAAGTTTATCTTAATTTTTGTATTTGTATTATACAATTATAAATATGTTTCATATACTAAATATCAAATATCTGTGGGGAAATTTATTAAAACTTAATTTAATATTTCTGAATATCAACTGATAAACTGCACAGACAAAAAGGACTCTGCAAATAAGTATCTTTTAAAAAATTGTGACCATGAGATTTTTTAAAATGAGGAAATGTGCCAGTTAACTGGAAATTTGCTAGATAGGTCATAAGAAACTGAAAGATTTGGCTGTATTTGATGTGTGACTCTGAATGTGAATGCCTTTGCTAATGTAATTATACAGTGTATGATTTTATTACATGGCAATTTGCAGGATTTTGTATATATTTACTCTGTGAGAGTATTTACTGTTAATATTTAGAGAAATGTTTTTATTGTTTCTGCCTCTCAGTCTCAGACTGATATTTTTGAAATGGAAGATATATCCCTGCATCTTTTACTCTTGGAATATAAATGTGCAAGTCAGATTGAGAAATGTGTACTGTTTATTACAACTGTTCAATTTCAGGTCCACTTCCTTTGCCATTGTGAGTTGTTTGTAATCAACAGTTTTCCTTTGTTGTGGTGAAACAAAAGGTTTTCTTCTGATTTTAACATTAGCATGGCAGAAGAAAAATCAGCATCTTTACAGTTAGAAGTAAACTATGAAATTTATCATAACAAGACTATGCTTTACTTTTTGTTCAGAAAGCATATATTCAATGTAAAAGCATATATGAATCAGGGAAGAAAAGTGAACACAGAAGAGTTTAAGGCACTTGGTTACACACTAAGACTGATTTACTTGGGAATCCAGCTCAGTTTGTCAGGCTACACTGGGCTGTGACTGATTTCATAATCGGGAGATCACCCCTTTGGCAGATTCACCCTGCCCAACAATCTCCTCAAGAACATCTACAATACCAGAAGCAACCCATGGGAGTCCTGGACGTCCTGACCTGAGGCTTTTTTTCTTGAATTTCCTCCTCTATCTAGCTGTCATTCTGTAGGCTTTCTGTCCTGTTGTCTCCATCACCTGCTTCTACTAGACTTGCCTCTTAATCTTGCTAACCAGCCATGTGCAGGTTCCTGGTCTGATGATACCCTCTGAGCCTGCAGTGGCCAAGTGCTTCCCACTGAAAATTGTCCCTGCACTCCTTGCCTGATCACTGACTCTAGGAAATAGCACCACCCAGTGTATGATTCTATCTCATGCCTGAGACGAGGGCTTTGGACAGGGACACACTACTCCTATCTCTGTGACAATGTTGCAGAAAAACTATGCTGGCCATTCTGCAGCCACATGGAAAACAAAAAGAGGTCACTTTCAGCTAATTTCAAGATGTAAGAGCCAATTGACATAGGTCAGCATGGAGATGCAGGTTTTGTGCCTTAAAGTCCTGTTTCATTTATATAAGCCATCCCTGTCATGCTTTGCATAAAATTAATGTTCTTTATAAAATAATATTTTTTGTAATTCAGGCTAAGAAATCTATTTTCTTATGCAATTATAACCTTTTATGAATATATTATAAACATTTGTTCTTCTTTATAGACAAACTTTCCAGGAAATGCCAAGCACGTCATATTTGTGTAGGAGTCGTTGATTGGGGTTATTAGAAGACGTAAAAATCAACCATGCACTGAAACTTTTCCTCTTGGGAAATACATACAGTGTCTGCTGCAAAAAAATTTGTATAAAGTCCCACACTTTGATGGTTATTTTTGTGTGTCAACCTGGCCAAGTTTTGGTACTCAGTTGTTTGGTCAAATACTAGTGTAAACGTTGCAAAAGTGGTACTTTTCTTAGCTTAATATTTAAGGCAGTAGATTTTGAGAAAGCATATTACTATCCCAGGGGTGAGTGAATTTTATTTAATCAGGTGAAGGCGTAGAAAACACATGCTGAAGTTCTCCAAGAGAATATGGTATTCTCTTCAAGATTCCAACCTAGAAGCCTTGCTTAAATTTCCAGCTTGCAGCCCTGCAAAAGTTGGACTTAAGAATTCAATACCAACTCTTTCCTCAGTTTCTAGCCTGGTAGCCTTCACTTCAGATTTTAAAATTGCTACCCCACAGTTGGAAGTTGGATGAACCCAATTCTTTAAAATCAATTAATCTCTCTTTTCTGTTAAAGTTAATGTATATTGATATCAATAGATAGCTATATATATACATATATATATATATATATATATGCACACACACACCCTATTGTCCATTTATCTGGAGATCCTTGACTGACATGTGCACCAACTTTTCAGAAGACCCTTCTTCCCCTCAGGAACACTTTCATACAAGTGAGAATTCCTGAGTGTAACTTGATGCTTCTGTTGCAGGAAGGGACTCATCTACCACTGTACTTCCACTTCCTGATTATTCCTGCTCAGGGGCTCCTTTCAAGATGGTCCAGATCTAACTTGTTTCATCTCTTCATCTTTTCCTCACTAAAGTCATTTACCCACTCAAACCACATGTGCACAGCCCCCCCCACACACACAGCAGAAGTGCCATTGGTTCACATTCTTGGAAATCATAGATGTTACTCTGCCCCTCAGGATCAGGGTGACTGGACCGCCCAAATGCTGAGAGGAGCTGCATTCACAACATGCCCTTCCATAGAGGGCCTGGCCTTCCATTTCCTCAGGCTGCAGCTCAACTCTCCCAGCTGTCAACTTGGGAAGAATGATATTTCCCCAGAACATTGCACAGTAACATCCTTCAAACCATGTTGTGAAGAATCACTTTATTTCTAATTCCCAGAGCAATAATTATACAAATACTAAACATATACTGTAATGTTGCAGAAATTTTATATTGCTATAAAAGCTGCTAAAGCAAATTCTTTATTCTCTTTACTGTTTCTTTGCTGATCAAAAACCAAGATTGCTTTCAATAGTATCATTCTATGTGCCCAACATAGAATGGCTGAGGTGGTGCTCGTGGTGAGAAGCACTCCTCATCAGAAAAGAGTATGTAAGAGGGTGAGTGCCCAAGTTTGACTCAAATTCCACTGTGTGCTTCCTCAATCTAAGGCTCTAAAGTAGTAAACACTATTTCTCTCCATTCCCAAGTTCTCCCACTAGAGCACACTCATCTTGTTTTTATTTAGCAGTCCTGCCCTCTAAGACTATAACCACTTCCTTTATAACCTGCGTCATTTTGATTCTTCCAGATGGTCAATGACAGGAAGCAGAAAAAGATAGGTCAAAGCTCATGGGTTCTTAATCCAGCTCAAGACTTTCTGAATTCTTCTCAAGGAAACTCTTTCCACCACCTTCAGCACACCACGTATTATGGTCTTTCCATGGTAACTTGTGAAATCAATACGTACATTGATTCAACTCATGACTGTCATGAAATATCTACTCTTGTGTATTATATTATAAACAGAGAAGGTGGAACTAAATTTCTGTAAAATGAGAAGAAGGATGATGATGATTGGTAATTGTATACCTAATAACTGCAATTCCTTTTCTAGGTTCATCACCTAGATATCTTGTCTCAGGTGAACAGAGAGTCATTATATTTATGATATAATCCCCTTTACATTGTCAAAAAGAACAGAATCATTTGGATCCAAAAATCTGGTATGTTTTCTATATTAACATTGTAACATTTTCATAGAAGAAATATGAAGATTAAGTTTTCCCCCCAGGGAAAATGAAATTGTGTAGTTGCCTCACATCCTATTAATATAAGTGAAATGACTTCTGTAAAAGCTCACAAAATATCTCTTAAATTGTTTTTAAATAAATCAGTTTCTAAAGATTTGTATTGCAGAGAATCTAACAATGCAAATGCATTAAAATGTGTTTATAGAATGAATAGATGTATATATGTTTAAGAAAATACACTGTTGAAAAAGTCAACAGTGGAAGAAGGAGATGTGGAAGAAGGAGAGATAAAAGGCATTAGAGAGATGAAGGGCTAAATTTGGATTCACAGAATTTAAACATCTCTTTGGAAATGTGGGGTAATCAGGGTATGAATTGTTTTCACAAAATCTTTTCTTATATTAAGATCTTAACCTCTATTTCTCCTTTTTTCTTATTAAACAGCAAAATGGTGAAAAGAAAGATAAGCGTGTGTCAACAAACATGGGCCCTATTTTGCAAGAACTTGATTAAAAAAAAGAGAATGAAAAGGGACACTTTGATGGTATGATGCAATGTTTATGTTCTTTCATATGTGTGCTGTTAAAATGCATTTCCCTCTGTGGCAAGTATTCTTTATAGACTGGCCCTGAAAAATAAACCACATTTCTTTGCAGTGAAGGCGGAGCCAATATATTAAGGACTAAATATAATAAAGAAGGCAGAAATTGAAATTCAATAAATATTTTAAAAGCTTAAGAAGGCATTTAAATATTAGTGTTGTATTCGTTAATGCTAAGATGAAGATGGTGGTGAATTAAGATAAAGATGATGGTAAATTGAAGGAATGATAAACATTTGACCCAATAGATGCAATGTCTGGGAACAAGGACTTAGTTTTTGATCTATTTTTTTAAAATAAGCATTTGGTTTCTTAAGAAAATAGAGATTTCAGAGAGTTGATACAATAGGGTGGAGGAAAAAAATCATTATTTCTTATAATCTTGCATGATTTAAGTATCAGATAGGCATAACTAGTTAGCATTTGTTGTTCAAATTGTGATTGTGCTAAGCACATATTCAGTGAACTTCTTTGTAAGGCCAAATACTTTGGAAATTAAAAAATTGAAAAGTGATTTGTTATTTGTAGTTTACAGGTTTCTAGGCCTAATACCTACCATACCAGGCCAGTATTCTAAGGTCCCCGCAGTTTTTAACTTTTCAATCCTGCAGTCTTGAAATGTAACCAAGGTATTAATTATTTCTAAAGAAAAATGCCTTAGAACTGTCATGTGTCACATACACTTACAGTAAAATCAAACATATTGGTGCATAAAGTTTAAGCCTCTGATCACAGCCCAATTGTCAGTGCTTTTGATATGCATTAGAATCCAATATATGCACAGGCGCAAGCTTTAGAGAGCAATCAACCTCACTTCTATGGAAAATTCATTGAAATTAGTGACACTGTTCAACCTCTGTGTTTCGCATATGTCAACAAGCACACACTACAGGAGATGAATTGGAAATGTAGCCAAACAAAAGCACAGCTATATGACAAAACGGATTGTGACTGACTTATTTGTCATTATTTTCTTCATTCTTTCTCTCTGAGTATGTAGGAATGGTTGTACTCAGCATTTTTACTATTGATCTTGTGCACCTTTTACACACTTCATGAAGTTTATGATTTTTCATCAATGCCTCCTGTAGACCTGGGACGTATAGATTCATTTAATGATTCCGCATTTGTGATTGCATACACACCTTTCAATAAAACAACTCAAAGGATAATGAATAAAGTCTCTTCTGCCTCCTTCATGACGGGTAAGTTTTATATAAAATCGGGGAATTTCTGCATTTAATTTGGTCACAAACATATACCATTAATTTATAGTTAATAAAATGTTTGCTGTCAAAACTACCAGGTAATACAGAATGTCAATATAATTTCCTTTGATTACAGAAAAGGGCTACAAATCATTATCTGCAAACAAAATAAAGCCAGGGAGAAGAGTGCTTATACCACTCATTCTCTAAACAATGTAAATAACTAACTTATGTACAGATTTTTGAAACACAAGACTGGATTTTCAAACTTTGGAGTGTTTAGGGGTTTGTTGATACTAAAATGAGACCCTTGCTGTTCAAGTAACATTTAGAAGTCTGAAGGTGTTTGGTTGTGTTCTTGGCTAACAAGCATTTATCAATGCCCTTTCTTGAATTTGAAATTAAATCACTCCTTAACATCCAAAAGATTTTTCCTTTTCAAATGTGAAGGTTCCTTCTAGGTGTATTCTATGTTTCAAGGTCTGTTCTTCCTGCCCGGTGTGGTGGCCAATGTCTGTAATCCTAGTACTTGGGGAGGCTGAGACAGGAGGATTGCCACGAGTTCAAGGCCAGTCTGGAGTACGTAGTGAGTTCAAGGCCAGCCTAAATTACAGAGTGAGACCCTGTCTCAAAGAAACAGAAACAAAAAACAAACAAATCCTGTCCACAGTTGAGTTATTTTACAGTTGAGTAGCTATCCGTGAATATGTAAGATGAGCATTATCACTGCAAATAGAACTTGGCCATAATTTTTTTTCTCTTTTTAAAATAACACTGAGCTTGGTTCAAAGAACTTTTGATTAATGTAATTATAGCACTCTGTATAAATCCTAAAGCAACTGTAAGCCATCTTTATCCTCTTTTATAGTATCTTTTCAATAGCATGTTATTTATCTTGAACCTTTCATTGATAAGTGAAAGAATCCTGACACATATAGTTTTAAGTAAAAACGTAATTACCAACTGTACTTATTCTAGACTTGTTAGTTTAGTTTCAAGACTTACTTCTAATCAGATTAGCAACACTCATGGAAGAAAAGCATATCTTTTCTCATATTCCAGTTCATAGGATCTCAGTCCCCATGACAATACCTCCAAACCACATAATGGAAAGAAAAGAGGAAGTGTGATGTCACCCCTAAATCTCAAGAGGCTTAGTAGAAGGACGAATGGAAATCAGGAGAATAAAGCTCACAGATTATTTTTCTTTTTACAAGTACATATGCATATCTGATAGTGTTCTTTAACATAAAATGAGAAAAAAACCCTAAAAAAATCATCCATGAAGATTACTCCATAAATGTGATTTAAATTTGAGCATCAAAATGTCACAGAAGGAAACTGAAATTACCTTGGAGTATCAGAATCCCCCTCAAAGAGCGCTGTTCTTAGGTGACCTGCAGACTTTCATACAAGTTGCTGGAAATTAATATAACCACTTTTCCCTTTTTAGACAGCTCTGTCCATAGATCCACACTGGTCCATGTAACCATTAAATTTGCTTTGAATTCTGACCCCAAAAAGCAAGTTCCGTATTCAGAAGTTCCCGATCACTGTAGCACAAATGCAAGCACCTACTATGTAGAGTCTCTGTGGCCCTCAGTTCCCAGATGATGCCGGGCTTTCCTTCCTGTCCATGCATCAGTGTACACTGCGAACCTGTGGATGTGAACTGTCCCAAACTTACCTTCCTGTGGCACCTCACCAAACATCATAGCACTCCTTACACCTAAATTTGCAACACTACACAATACCTCTTACCTACCAATGCTGAATCCACTTCTTATTCCAGATTGTGTCCTGATGTGAATGTCCACTGAAGGCTCACCTTCACCCCATCCTGAGATGTGTTGGACACATCCTGTCTTTGGTGGATGTCCTGCTGAGGTCCACAGTGTTCTGAACTTGTGCTTCTGAATATTCCCAGGCAAATGCAATGATAATATTTGTTAGACAGTTACCATGTCCCATATTTTTAGAGTTTAGTCTCACAATCAACACAGCATCTTTAAGATGATGGAGGAACAAATGTTTGGTATCCTGTCAAGTATCCCACAGATTTAGGATAGGCACTAAGGGTTAAGATCCATTTTTATAAGAATGCCTGATGTCTGGTCTTCCCCTTTTACACAAATACCCATTGCAATGAAGAAACAAGTATTCACTTTTCATTCTTTCAGTTTTTAACATATATTTGTATAAAATTTTATACACACATTTATTATAGAGTTGAACACAATATCTGTGGAAAATAGAAATTATGTTAGTGACACCCACTTTGCTATTCTACTATTTAAGAACTTTATACTCTTCTGGGATATGTTAATCATACATAATTGGGTTTTTTTGCAAAAAATAAACTTGTATAGTTACTTCCACTAATGCAAATCAGGGCTAGTTGGGCTATATACAATTCGCTATTTTACACTGTTTGAGGATTTTAGATGAATAATTTTTCTGTTAATAGTCTATTTGGAATGTTATGATATTTTATGTCACTTACCTGCCTAATTAATTGGAGACCATGAAAGAAAATTAATTTCCATGTATTCCTTCTGATGTTATTTAGAATGTTAGAAATGTATTCTTCTCATCCTTACTTTGAGTGATTTAAGATCGTTGTGTAACTTGGGTTCATTTTTATGAAAACAAATGTATTAGAAGGAATAGAATCTGGTTTCCCAGAGTCATTGTTTTTAGTAAATCATTTATAGCAATAATGTTTTTCTTGTAATGGCAGGAAGAAAAGTAATAGCTTTTCCAGATGAAGAAAATATGACAGAACTCATTTCAACCCATTATGAAGATGTAGTGAGAGTCATATTTACCAGTCCTTTCTCTTATCACTTAAAGTTCCTCAGAGGATCTCGTATCCCAATCATTAAGGAGCACCAAGACCATTCAGGTAACTTTCCAGCTACAAAACTACAGAGCTTTCAATTCGTATTATACAATACAGCATGTGTAGAGATATTAATTAGTACAAAACAATCAACTTCAATAACAAGGTAACAGTGACTTCTGGAAGTAAGGAAAGTTAGATAGATTAGAAATGTTAGACAATTTATTTTGGAAGAAAAAATTCTTCTTAAGCTAAGCTCACATGAAAGGTAGGAAATTCTAATGGCCAACAAGAAAAGGGGTATCAAAAATCAGGTTGTTATAATAATGTTGTTTAATAAGGCTCTATCAGTTTATCAGTCTTTGCAAACAAGAAGTCTGCACTTCAGTAGCAACTTTAAGACAAGTTAACATGGTCTTGTGCCTGCATTAGCTGGAGACAGCTACATTAGGCTGGGATTTTCCAAAGGCTAAATTTCAAATGCAAGGGAAGAGGGAGAAGGAAACCACTCTGTTAGAATGAAAAAGAATAAGAGAACTTCTGTGTTGTACCTTGGGCTCTGGGTGGGGCAAAGGAAAAATTTGTTTTGCTAATTTTTAGCATCTTTTTGTCTTTATGTCGACTTGTAGTTCTCGTTTATACCACCTACATTGTCGTAAAACCTCAAGTACAAACATATTTTAAAATGATAGTGGATTGAGTGCATGCTGAGTGCATGTCTAAAACTGTTCTTAAACTTCAGACTTCTCTGTAGTGCCAGAAAAGACCCGAAGACAGATCCTCTCTGATTGTGAATTCACAGTCCACAATTGCTAGTTACACACTATGTGTATGCAAGAAGCAATACACAAGAGTTAGATGCTGAGAAAATGTGATTATCAAACATATACTATAGAATAATTTTGTCAGTAGAAAGGAAAAAAATATACTATCAGAAAAACCAAGAAGCACTGGTAGCAATTGGTGACAGAGGAGCATTTTTGAAAAGACTGACCAACAGTAGCAATTATAAAATTATCTAGAGAGGGAAAATCTATAAGTAAAAAATTTCCATTAATGGAAAACATAAAATTTTATTAAAAGGCATGGCAAGATTTATATTCATAAAAAAGGATCATAAGAGTGGTCACATACAGTGATATTTGCATCAAGTGAAACAGAAAAGGTGAATATTCTTAATATGTAAAAGATTTTATTAGTTACTAAAAAAGACATAAAATTGGACATGTAAAAAATTTTAAATTGCTTATTAAGTACTGGTTAGAAATACAAACATTGTCAAAAAAAGTAAGAAGATTTAAAAGATGACTGCAAATTTCAGGAAAGTTTGAGATGGTAATAGCAGCAATAGGACAAGCTCACAGAAGAGACATAAGAGGATTTCACCCTATTAATGGATTATTTTTAAAGTGGGTAGTCAATACAAAGATATTTCTTCAACTAATTCCTATATCATGTGTAAATCTTAAGTATACTTTCATAATTTAAAAATATTTAAAATTAATAATGTGTTCAATTAATTTCTTAATCTAATCCTAATTGTTCTAATCCTAATTGTTCTCTAATAAACTATAATTGTTTATTACCCAATAAATGGGTAGTTTTGCCTTTTCATTTCTTAAAATAATTTTTCTCCAAAAGACTTCCTTTGTCTAGTGTCTTCTTCAGGTCCTTTTTCCAGTATTTTATAATTTTCATTCCAGAAGACTTTCACCCCCTTGGCATTCAATTTTTTTAGTCTATTGCGGATGACTTATTTTCCTATTCCTTTACCTGCAAGTTCATTATTTATAATACAGATTATTTTAAAAAGACAAAAAATTCAGAAAATTAAGCAAATTTTTAAAACTCACTTTTATCTTAGAAGTTCCTTTTGTTGACATTTTTGTGTTATATGCAGTGTAATCTTATTAGCAAATGCTTTGTTTTATATTTTGGCTTATTTTACACTGCTTTACTACTTTTTTATAATTATAAAAATTATTTTGAGAATAGTAGAAAAGCAGGGAAAATAAGCTAAACAAAAATGAGAGGCAGCAATGCACAGAAGAAAATATGGAAAAGCTTCAGAGTGAATCTTAGAATAAAATAGAAATTAAGGAACATTTCTTAAGTAGGAATTCTCTGTTCTCTACACTTTGAGGATAATTACTAGAATTTGTGTTTTTTATGGGTTTTGAGTCAACATATAAGCATTAAGCATGTAAGTTTGGAGACTTGTAAAATCCATTGTTTCTTATATTCAGGACTACTACATTCCATAATTAAAGTTATGCTTCTGTTTTTCCCCCCAAAGTTCATTGCCATGAAGTTAGAGATAGTTTTGATTGTGGCATTTCACAATTCTGGACAGAAGGTTTTGTGGCTCTTCAAGCAGCTATAAATGCTGCCATTATAGAAGTGAGTACAAAACATTTAATGTAAATTAATGTTCAACTGAAATTAATATTCAAAGAAAATTAATGCTATTAGACATATCAAAAGTTTTGTGACAGAAAATATAAATAAAAAGCTCTAGCCATTCATTTGCTTACCCATTAAGTTACTCTTTCATTCATTCTTTTAGTTAGTCATTTACTCATTTTTTTCAGCTATAAGCCAAGTATAGCATAAAGATGGAGATAACAACATTTAGAACAGGTACTTTTGCTAACGGAATTCAATAGTGCCAGGAAGCCAGGCATGAACTCAGAAAATTATTAGAATAGAAGAAAATTATTAGAACACAGCATAGTTACTAAGTTCTTGTGAGTAGAGAAGCAAGAGTCGCAGCCTAGAATACTATAGAACAACTTCTATTGAAATGATATTTATGCTTGAATTATCAGGTGGGAAGAATGCCTACTTCATATGAGGAAGAAAAATTCCAAGAAAGTTGATCAGGCAGTGGCAGGCATAGAGGTGATAAAACACACTGTAAAGTCTGAGAAATTAGGGTGCATCAGAATGTATGACAAGTGTACCAGAAGCAGAATATATAAGAGGAAATTTAGATTGACATTGAATCCAGACAAGCACAGTATAAATTCATGGAAAGAAAAGAGAGGATATCATCTGAATTCATAAATTTTATTCACTGATATCTATGTTTAGATCTCAACAAATCACTCAGTGATGGAAGAATTGATGTCAGTTACTGGAAAACACATGAAGATAGATCCCTTCATTGGTCAAGAAGGAAAGATAACAGATTTCTTCATTTGTATCTGTATTATTTGTTTTTCCCCATTCACTTACTATGTCTCACTTAGTGTTACAAGAGAAAGGAAGAAGATGAAGTGCTTGATGACAATGATGGGCCTCCAAGATCCAGCATTCTGGTGAGTCACATGTAGCACAAATAAATAAGTGGAGAAACTCAGAAAAAGTGGGTTTCTAGATAAAAAGCCTCTTTACTGAAGCCTATAGCATCCTAACATTTTTATTCTGCATAAAATAATTTCCCCTGGTGTAATGCTTATCAGTGTTTTGCCACACTTTGCCCTGAGCTGAATAATGGATTGTATATCTGTCATTTGAGGCAATATTTTAAATATTGAACAACCAGTATTTCTTGTTTTCAGATTTATGAGAAAGTTTTATTTTGTTTTGTTTTGTTTTGTTTTTCCTGGTACCAGGGATCGAACCCAGGACCTTGGGCTTGTGAGGCAGGCACGGGGCACTGAGCTAAATCCCCGGCCCTGAGAATTTAGTTTTTGACATTTAATAAAACATTTTCTTCCAAGGTGTTTGTTTTTTGCCAGACCGAGAGAACAATTATTGGGTCACTTTAATGTTACACCATTTTAAGGGCATCAAAGAAAAAGCCACCACTGTGCTTGACAATTGACGTTGAGATAAATGCTTGCTTTGCTCCTGAGTGGCAGTTTCTGGTCAGAAAAAAAACAGAACCATTAAAATTAACAGAGACATTGATTCAAATCTCACCTTCCCACAACAGTTATGTTTGCATGAGAAAATTGCCTAAAATACTGAAATCTCAGTTTCCTTTTCTGCAAAAAGAGGAAAGAATATCCTGCCACACTGGTCCCTAATGAGACTATTCTTGAAAAACCCTAACCTGTACTTCAAGAAGGCTCAAGTGGTCAGTAAATTATGACTGTCAACATTTGTTTGGGCAGTTTGGGTAATGTGTACCTGAAAGAACATAAAACTTCAAAGTGAGAGTCTAGTTTATCAAAAGATAATACAATCTTCCTTAATCATATGACATGTCAGAATCGTAACAGAAACATTTTTTATTTTATATTCTAAACAATAGGCTTCATTTCTTGAGCAGAAAATAGAGACAGTGTGCTTCCCAGCTCCTGACGATGTCACTGTTAATACATATACCTTGTGTTAATCTAATCCATGAATCACAATTTATAAATTAATGAGTTATCATTATAAGTAAAAACTATAGTAAATAAGAGCTCACTCTGTGTGTTACACAGTTCAGTGGATTTAAGCAAGTAGGCAATATCATGTGTGCACCACTACAATATTGTGTAGTATAGTTTCACGGTCCTGAAGTTGCTGTATGTTCCATCTGTTATCCTCTCTTCTCCTCCTGAACTCCTAAAAATCCCTGGCTGTTACCCTCTTTACCATTTTGCTTATTCTCCAGTGTCGTACGGTTGGAATCATACAATATTCAGACTAGACCATTAGATTATAGAATCAGACTAGCCCATTTTTAAACTAGCTCAGAATATTATAGAATCAGGTGAAAGGGGGGTTGACTTAGAGAGTTTTACATTCTCTACCTGAAAAATATAATTTGAATTGCATGAATGGGAATTATACGAATAATTATGGGTTGCAGTAATTTACCTTGCTATCAACTTTCTGCAAGTTAACTTCTATCTGTTTCTGAGATGAAAGAAAATGAATCAACTTCTTTGCTTTTTAGGTTTCTCTTCTGCAACATGAAAGGAATAATACTTATTCCATAGCCATGTTGTGGGATGTAAATTAATAAATGACTAATAGTCATAAATATTATATAAAGTAGTAAATATCTGTATTGAAAGTAGGAAATGCAACGTAAGTTACCTATTAACCATAATAAAGTATCATTAATTTCTTAATTATATAATAATATTTTAGTAGTATTTGCAGTGGTATTATTTAATTGTCCATTAAACATTTTTACACTTGATCTTAGCCAAAAGGCCAAGAAGCAATGTCCATTAAACATTTTTGAGAGTATAGAAAAAAACTAGATTATCAGAGAAAGTATTAATGAGGAATGGAGAAAAAATATCTTTCAAGGACAAAGGAAAATAATTTAGTAAAAGTAAGAGGCTAAAGGTCATTCTATCTTACTAGAACATGACTTTTAAAATATTCAGAATATTAGGTGTCCATATAAGGAGAAATAAGTACTCTGGGGTAACCGAGAAGTAATTAGAATAACCATAAGGAGCAATTTCCTATTTTCATAAAAATGTATCAAATTATTTTTATATCGGAGACCCTTTGCCTATGATGAAAAGAATCTTACATTTGATCAAGGATTGCCATACGGGGCAAGGCTCTGTGCATTTTCCTTGTCTTATTGAATCCACACTCCTATTACTCTCATTTTCAAGGGGAGAAAAGCAGATTAAAGCAGTTCTGTAGATTGCCAGAGGCCACAGAGCTAGAATGCAGCGGAGACAGTTCCTAACCAAACCTGTAAGACTTCTTTCTCTCCAGTCTTCACGAAATTTGTGTGTGTTTTATTTGTATTAATTCTAAGAAAAAGCATATCTTCCTTCAGTCTCAAATAATCATGTTCTATTTATAAATATATCACAGAAGATTCCGTGAATAACTGGTGAGTGAGGGAAGGAGTGAACAAAAGGATGGATAATATTAGTCTCCAAGCTAGGTACTTGTTTTCATCTGATCAAATACTGAAGTAACCCTTTGTTTTCCTATCAGGTTCTCCTGGGGTTTGCTTTATGCTGGTTTTGTCTTCATTCTGACCCTTTTCTTGGCATTTATTATAAAATCAGTCCAATTTGTCATCCTGGCTGGCTTCATGGTGGTCTTCAGCCTCTTTTTCTTCTATGGACTGTCTTTGGTGAGTTGCTGAATAAAATCTCTCTCTGTCCAGCTCTCCCTCGAAGAAACAAACTTGGTTTGCAATGAAGACATTCCTCACATACTCCTTTTCTGTTGGCATGAGCCCATCTGTGGATGCGTACTCTTTGATTTGTAGTGCTTCGTGGTGCCAATTTGTGATGCAAGGTGTAGTTTAAACCATAATTTTCTATATTAAAGCTTTTGTTTCATCATACTACTAATAATTATTAAAGAAACATAAACCAACTGGATCTCCTCTCATTGTAGATCGCATTGGCTTTCCTGATGAGCATCTTGCTGAAGAAGCCTTTCCTCACCGGCCTTGTTGTGTTCCTTCTCACTGTCACCTGGGGAGGTCTGGGATTCGTGGCATTGTACAGATACCTTCCTGTGTCCTTGGAGTGGATTTTAAGTTTCTTCAGCCCTTTTGCCTTCACACTTGGAATGGCCCAGGTGAGCATTTATTTACTAGTGACATTTCCCAAATACCATTTCCCTCTGAAATGTAATAGTCTATAGTCCATGTTCCATGTTTAGACTTGCAAGCCTTTTGCCTCTGCTGAACAACATGCTTAAGGGGCTACAAAGATAATTTTTTAAAACCACAAGACATTTTCATCTAGAAATAAGTTCTTTGATGAGTAACCAGAAAAAAATGAAGAGTAGGCTCACAATTTTTTGCATAAAATATTAATGTGTTTCATCATCTCCTCAAATGGAATTTATATTATAAATTGAATTGTAACTTATTCCAATTAACCTTTTCACTTAATAATATAAAAGTGATATATGTTGCAATTCTGAAAACTATAAAACAAAAGAAGTTAAAAATAGTATTTCTTAGTCAAATATTGACTAAAAGATACTTTTTTCATTCCTAAAATATCTTTTCATCACTTTCCCTAATTTTGTATGATGAAGAGACCATTTCTGCCCCCCCAACATACAGTAAGGTCAATAAATTGTCTTGTGCTTATAACAAATTAATAGTGCTCCTTTCTTGAGAAATACGGATCAGGCAATGTTTTTCCATTGACCTTTCCTTAAGTGCACAGTGCAATTTTGCAGCATTTTCAGCTCTCATGCAGCCATCTCCTGAAATATCCTACCTCATCCCCATTCCCAATTTAGTGAAATTCTGTGTAAGTACCTGCTTAAATGTTGCCTCGTCTGTGATTTTCTTATATTTACCAGGTCCACTCTTTTCATGTAATATCTAAGTCTACTGTGTCTGTTACTAAATTACAGTACGATTTAGACATGTCCCAGTTTTCCAACAGAGAACTGTAAATAGCCATACGATTTAACTTTGTATTCTTAGAGTCTGGCAGAAAGTGATATTCACAGTCTATATTGTAGCTAAATTTTAAAAGAATTAAGAGTTAAGTTGCTTGCATTTATTGGTTTATTTTTAATTTTCAGCTCTTACACTTGGAATTTGATATGAATTCTAATGCAGACTCAATGGGTGACCCAAATCTAATCATAGCTACAATTTTCATGTTGTTCCTTGATAGTTTATTCTATCTGGCATTGACGTTTTACTTTGAAAAAATTTTGCCAAGTAAGTAGTAGCACAATAAAACTTAACATGCTTTTTACAGTTATGAATTTTCTTCTACACATGTATTACCTATATTTCAAGAACTTATGCATTGACAGGAAGGAGATGATCATAGCCACCAGTGCAGCAAAATTATTTCTTTTATTCTCTTTTGCAATTTAACTGCTCAAGATTGAAATATGAATTTTGTGTACAGAATCAATAGCTCTTTAGTGAATTAAGTGTATGTTTAGCATTTCCTCTGTCTCTTTCTCTTTTATACATTTAGGACATTTGATTCCTAAATGCTCTCTGACTTTGCTCTTAACCATAGAAATTTGTAGTTACTTAAAACTCAGCAGTTCTAATTTCTGCTTGCATACCAGAATTACCCAGGAACTTTGCTATTTTTTTGGTTTAACCAATAGTTTATATATTTATCCTGCACAACATGAAATTATGAAATATGTTTAATTGTGGAATGGCTAAACCAAGCTAATCAGCATATGCATTACCTCGTATCCTTTTTTGTGGTGAGAAGACTTAAAATCTACTCTCAGCAATTTTCACTGTGACACTTTGCCATTAAGTACAGCCACCATGGGGTAGGATCTCTTGAACGTATTCCTCTTGTCTGACTGAAATTTTGTATCTTTTGACCAACATCTCCCCAACTCTATTCTGCCCTCCCAACCCCCAGTAACCTCCATTGTACTGTATGCTTCTCTTATTTCAACTTTTTCAATTCCAAAAGAAATCAGACCACATGGTGTTTTTCTTACCGTGCCTGGATTGTTTGACTTAACATAATGTCCTCCAGTTTTATTGGTGTTGTTGCAAGAAGTTTAAGGAAAAACCAAAATCAGTTCAACCCTAGACATTCTGATCCCATTGTCTGGGAGCAGCACCAAGCCATCTGTATTTTCAGAACTTCCAAGATGGTTATGATGTGAACCAGACTAAAATAGGAAGAGGACTCAATCAAACATTTATAGTTTTATTCTAGTGCAATTTATCAATGTGTCCCTATAATATAAACTCCTCAAAGGCAGTCATTTTTTTGTCTTATTGGCTGATAGAACTGAGAGAATCTGAAACATCCTAGGTACTCAGTAAATACCTGTGCACTTATCTAGGATACTGTCCATGCTTAAGGACAGACACTGTGTCATGCAAACAAAGTGGCCAGGACTCTTCCCCAACAAGCCATAAGTAAATTCAGAAAGAAAGGGAGAGAAGTGAATGAGTGAGAGGAAAAAAGCAGAGGGAATTCTTGATTTAGTTAACTGATCAAGTTGATTTAAGAGAGTAACTTATACATGATGATTGTGTCTGGCTTATTGAAATGTTCAGAATACAACGTTTCACTTGGTTTATCATTTTTTGCCAATATGTTTATGAAATGATATAAGTAACTTGCTATATATCCAGGCATATACATTTGAATTTGTCTTTGTGTGCAGTGTTTAGATTATATACTTTTATGTTCACCTTTTATTTTGCCCACCACTAATAAAAAGTAGTCCAATATAAGGGAAAAATACCCAATGCAAAAGGTCTGATAATATTTGTCTAATTTGAACAAATTTCTTTGAGAAATGGTTAAAAGTAGTCTTCTATGTTTTACTGCTGTTTTTGTTTCCACTGTTAAATTGCAAAGATGTTTGCTTTTGTGTTCAAATTTCATATTTATTCATATTGTACTCTTATTTCAAGCAACTTGAGACTACTAATTTTTCATGATTTTTCTTTTTCTTGGAAAATACCATTTAATCTCCCCCCCAGCTTTTTTTTCTTCATTTAGTTTTTTCCCCAGGGCTATAGCAAGCAGGACTCCTTACTTCCCATTCATTCTACAATAAATAGTGTCATTTGAGGAAAGACATTTCCCTATGAGTCCAATGTAGATTTATAAGTTATTTTCTTTGGCTGTTGACCATAATCTTGTGAAGATTATTAAGTCTTTTCTTGGGCCTCAGTTTAAGATTGGAGGAAATCTAATATGTAATTTTCCTATTTTTCTTTTAACATAATTTTTATTAAGTGTTGATGTATTCCTGACTATATAACTCATTTTTCCCTGCTGTTTATTTTGCCTTCATTTTTGGAAGATACATGTTCACTGAGCATAGAGTTTTAAGTGGAAAGTCTTTGGGGTTTTTTTCAATAATTTAAAGCTGATGTTCTTAAACCACTTGCAGATGACAGGAGCCTCCATTTTTCAGCTTGCATTGTCCCCACCAGGAAGAATCCCATCACTCTTATTCTTGCATCTTTTAAGATTTTTCCTTTTTGTTTTTTAGTTTTAAGCCATTTATTTATTTATTTTGAGACAAAGTCTTGCTATGTAGTTTCAGGCTGGCATCAAACTCATGGTGATTCTCCTGCCTCAGCCGCCTGAGTGCTGGGATTACAGGTGTGTGCCACCATGCCCAGCTAAGCCATTTAATTTTGAAATGGTTTGCTTCCTATTATATGTGCTTGGAATTCCCTGAGCTTTTTGGATATATGACTTTGTGTCTTTCATCCACTTTGGCATATCTTTAGCTATTATTCCTTGGAACATTTTCTTTCTTTTCCCTATTCCTTCCGAAACCCCAGTTACATGCATTTCATATCTCTTGAGAGTTTTATTTTTCTTGCAGCCAAAGAAAGGAACATCATAAGAGGAACCTAGGGATACATTAAATTTATTCTGACTACAGTATAGGTGGCGAGTTAGTATCATGCTGCCCTTCATATTATTTTAATGAATCAACTGTTTCTGTTCATTCACTTTCTTAAGATCTATTACATGGTTTTGTTAAGTTATGCTGCTGTCCCTAAACACATTCACTTTATCTGCTTAATAATCAGTTCTCATCTTTTGCTTGACTATATAATAATACACAGCATGTGCTAGGTCTGCTTTTCAGCTTTTGTGAGGTTAGAAAGGTTGTTAATGTTGCTTTAAAATTCAATCAGCTGTATTGTTTATCAAATGTTGTTTATAAAGCTAGTTATTTTAATACAAATATAATAGTAATATCTAATAATTTTTTCTTTACTGCTGTCCACATCAAGCATTTTAAGACACTATTCATTTTGTTGACATTGTCCTCATGTTTAGTTTTAATCCAATGATGCTTAAAACCATAACTGATCTCATATAATTCTGTCTGGGTCACATAGATGAATATGGACATCGACATTCACCTTTGTTTTTCTTGAAGTCCTCATTTTGGTGTCAAAAGAAAACAGCTAATCATGTGGCCCTTGAGAATGAAACAGAGTCTGAGTTTTCTGATGAGGCTTTTGAACCAGTGTCTACAGAATTCCATGGGAAAGAAGCCATCAGGTAATAGATTACATGGTTTGTGGAGAATGGCTGGGTCGGAGGCCAGGAAGCTATCCTCAGCCTGAGCCTGCTCCAGACAACACTGAGGCCATGATAATCTTCTTATTTTTATTTATTTTTTATGTTTTGGTACCAGAGATCGAACTCAGGACCTTGCGCTTGCAAGGCAGGCGGTGGCACCACTGAGCTAAATCCCTGGAGTTTGGGAATCTTTTTATAATCCCTCCCATGGCTCCTATCTAACCTCACCTAGCTGGATCTGAAACTGTCATTGTCCTCTGTTCCCCCACTTCCTTTAAAATCCAGGTGTTACTCTTAATATCAACCTTGACATCTAATGCAGAGTTCACATACCAGCAGCTACAACTCAGCAAAACCTTCATTCTGCCTGTTTCTATTGTTTTTCTTCTCTAATCTTCGTCATCTTTTCCTCTGCTTCAATGATTCACATTTTCCCCGTGTCATTTATATTACCTACTTTCTTTTTCTAATTTTTTTCTCCTCATCTGTTTATCATTTCTACAAAGAAGATGAAGGAGAAAGAAATAAGAAAAGCAAAGGCCTGGAGGTGAAAACAAGGAACTCAAGAAAATGTGCCTTTTAGAGTTGTGCACATCTCCTTTTTGTGTGACAATAAAATCTCCATTTTGTTTGGAGCTAGTGGCATTTATTGCCAAATAAGGAAGAAAAAGGCATCAAGGTCCCCTTCTCATCCATCAGACCTGCTCTTGTCAACTCCACTGCAAACAGCTAAAAATTGCTCTTGGCTGCTAATAGGACCTATTTTATTTACACTTTATAGCCTATTCCATTGTTAACAGCACACTTTTTGTCTTGTGATTTGAACCAGTCTTAATCTCAGGCAGTGAAAATCACATTAGGCAGTGGCTTTGATTTATTTGTTGTCTCTTTAATATTTTCTCCAGAAACTTAGCAAAGCAGAAGTGCTATGGAAGAATGAAATATAAGATTGAGACAGAAGTAGAAATTAATTCCATCAATAAAAATGAATCCTGAACTATGTAGTAAAAGATTGTAGGTGACAAATAACAAACATAAATTGGATCAGTTTATGAATCATGTATTTTTCTAATAGAATAAAACTTGGCAGATAAAGTATCTTAGGCTCCATAGCTATACTAACAGCCATAGTTAATTACTCTAATAGTCAGCTTTTTTGTCACTGAGACACAATACTTGACACTTACAATTTAAAGGAGGAAAAGCTTAATTTAACTCATGGTTCTAGGGATTCAGTCAATGGTAAGTTGGCCCCAAGGCAGAAACCCCATGGCAAAGGGGTTGGGTGAGGCAAAGCTGCTTAGTTCATGGTGGCTGGGAAGCAGAGCAGAGTACAGCCAGAAAGGAAGGGGCAAGGGACCAGAAATAGATCCCAAAGATATACCTGCATGACTCACACAGACACATTGAGAAATGTGCTCCCCCAATTGCCTGGGTGGATGATAAAGCCAATCAAGTTGATACTCTGGACTGATGGTCATAATTGTAATCTCTTCTACTAAAATAATGCTCATCATCTAATCAATGGCATCCAATACTTTTGAATGTTTACAATGAGTCATCTGCTAGGTAGGCAACATGCAACACTGTTTAGTTTCAGTGGCACAAATGGAATGACACCAAGTAGCTCATTTATAGACTTGTTTCTTGTCTCAATTTTTATACCACCTTAAGAGATTCTGGATCATGGTTAAATTGGAGACATCGTCATCTCCAACTTGCTGTTGTGGTTCACACACATCTTTGCCGTTTAGAGATCTATGTTACTTTATCGTCTAGCCTTCCCATCAATGGAGATGATGCAGCTCAAAGGTGAGGCTGGGTGACAAGCCCAGTGCCTAAGCCACAGCCATGATATCAAAGCCTTTTCTGGTTGGGGTCTTATGATGGTAAATTTTTTTAAATCCTCTGTTAATTCAAATGTGGAAAACAGTAATTAGCCAGGCCCAGTTGCCCATCCTTGTAATCCTAGCACTTCAGGAGATAAGACAGTAGGATCATAAATTTGAGCACAGCTTGAGCAATTTAGTGACAGTGACACCCTATCTCAAGATAAAATAGTAAAAAAAAAGTGTTAGTGACATCTAATAATGACTAAGTGAAATTGAGAAACTCTCAGATTTTCTTGTGCTCCAAAGACAAGAACTACCAATCCTTTCACTCAAACTCAGAATTACAGACTGAAGAAAATCGTCAACTTTAATTTTTCTTCCTATTTTGTCAGAATCAGAAACCTTACAAAAGAATATAGAAGAAAGCCTAAAAATGTTGAAGCTTTGAAAGGTAAAAAAAAATTATATTTTTACATGAAATTCTTGACTTTAATTAAATTGATTTTTCCCTTTGTGAGCAATTAGCAGATTTATTTGTAAATGGATGTTTGAATCTCATGATCAGTTTTCCATCCAAATGCACTATTATCTCTATTTTGGGTAATTTTGGAATTACATGTACATGAAAGATCCATAGTATAATATACAATAGTAGATTTGTCCAATGGCTTTGCTCCACAACTCATATTTTTTTCTAACGTAGCTTGATAGACATCTTTAAGATTGTATGTATTTTGCTTTGTAGGGGAGACAAAAATATATGTGGATTACACGGCTTTTAGCTACACAATAACTTATTACTGATCCATTTTTATTTATTAAATTATTATGAAGTGACTTTAATGTGCCAGGCAATGCTGTTGAACCTAGGCATATAAAACCTGTTTCATTTTTTAAAATCACATACTTTTGAAATTTACATAAGGGGAATATTGTAGTATTAATTGGATTTAACACATGCATGAATTTAGACTGTCAGAAACCATGACCATGCAGTCGGAAGTGTAGAGGCTCCCTACGAAACCTATGTCTATGTATAGGATTGTTTGCTTTCCTTATTTCTTTCTCCCATTCTTCCCTTCATGCTTTCCTCCAAGACCTAGCATTTGACATATATGAAGGCCAGATCACTGCAGTACTTGGTCATAGTGGAGCTGGGAAATCGACACTGTTAAACATTCTTACTGGGTTGTGTGTTCCTACCAAAGGTAAGAGACTTTCCTCAAAGTTGACAAGTGAGTCATTTGTACCTTTATTATTCCTCTGAACACTAAGTATAGATACAGATAGAGAAGTGTCTGAAATTTATGTTTGGCTTATATTATTCATTTATAAAGTAGATATAACCTTAATTAAAATATAGAGAATTTGAGTGTTTCACAACACTCAGATGTTCATGGTGTTATGACTCCTTATTTCACAGATACTAATTACCTTTTTCTGTATAAATAAAGTAATCTCAAACTTAGTGGCTTTTGAAAGGTAATAATGTGTTATGTCTCATAATTTGATAGGTTGGCAAAGAAAATCTTCCATTCTTTTTGGGTTGACTGTGGCTTGTTGCCTAGCATAGCTTCACTCACATATCTGGGATGTTTGAATCTCCTCTTCTCTTCTCTTCCTTTTCTCTTCTCTTCTCTTCTCTGCCCTGCCCTGCCCTTCTCCTTTCCCTTCTCTTCCTCTTCCTCTTCTTCTACTTTCCCCAGTCTTTCTCTCTCTCTCTGTCTCTCTCAAGAGGTGAGCTTAAATTTTTAGAATTGGCATCTTAAGATTGTAAGCAGCAAAACAGAGAACTCAGTGGAGAATCATGGTCCATCCCTTCATTGGGTGGTGTTGGCTAAGATCTCATTTCACAAAGCAAGTCACATGGCTGATACTAGTTGCAAGGCGTAGAGAAACTGACTTCCCCTCTTGATGGGAGGAGAGATGTGGACATATTTTCAAACACCACATAGGTGAAATAGATCCCTAACATGAAAATTCATAATCTATCAATCATATGACAATTGAAGATAAAATCATACATCCAGTTTTAGTAACTTCAAAAATATATGTAAGACATTTATAGCTAAGTGGATGCATATTGAGGCAATACTCTTAAGTGAAATAAATAGGACACACATGTGTAAATACCGAATAGTTTCTCTGGTGTGAGAAACTAAAAGTGTAAATAAGGATGAAATGTATAATAGGTAATGTGAAATAGGAAGAAAAGGGGCAAAGGGGAAGGAAGTGGGAGGGCTAGGGGAAAGGATAGAAGGGAGTGGGATTAATATGAGGAAATGGAAAAATAGGAACAAAATCTTTGTAAATAGGGAGGACTGGAGGGGTTGAAGGGAGGGCTGGGCAAGGGTGAAAAATAAAAACCAAGAGAGACTATGTAAAGGTGCAAATTTCCAATGATGAATGTCATTATATTGTATACCTAAAATGTACCAAGGATTAGAATGAATAATCAATAATGTAAAATAGGAAGAAAAGGTCCAAAGGGGTAGGGGTAGTGGGAGGGACAGGGGAAAGGAAAGAAGGGCAAGGAAAAATGATGAGAAATGGAAAAAATGGAAATAAAGTCTTTGTAAATAGGGAAGGGTGGAGGGGGTGAAGGGAGGGCTAGGAATGGGGAAAAAATAAGAACCAAGATGCATTATGTAAAGGTACAATTCCCAATGAGAAATGTAATTGTGTTGTATACCTACAATGAACCAATAAAAGAATTTAATACAAAAATATATATATATATATGATTATCTTAAATTAAGGATGCTGTATTATCTTAATAATAACTTTTTATCCTCTGGTTATAGGTTGGGTCACTATTTATAACAACAAACTTTCTGAAATAACTGATTTAGAAAATATCAGCGAGCTCACTGGAGTTTGTCCGCAAAGTAATGTACAATTTGACTTCCTCACTGTGAAAGAAAATCTTAGGCTGTTTGCGAAAATAAAAGGGATTCAGCCAAATGAAGTTGATAATGAGGTACATAATATGGTAGAAATAATATAAAAATCAATAAAAGTGCTGGTCAAATGATTAATCCAATTTACCCTGACTTTTGGGTTCATTAAATTATCTATGTGCAGAGAATATATTAATATGGAAAGAAAACCTAAAACTAATAGTATGAGACACATATATAACTTGTGATACTGCTGTTAGATTTCACTATACTAGATCTTTTAATCTTGACAACTCTGAGAAAATAGAATCTCCATTTTATATATGAGATTGAGATATAGCAAGGACAAATAAGTTACCTAAAGTTATAGCAAATAAACATGGTATAGTATGCAAACCCAGGCACTGCTCATGAATGTAACCACTGCACGTTACAATATAATGCTAGTAATTTTTAAAAGTCTAGTTATGGTGAACATGATCTTTTTTAGGTGCACAGAGTTTTGCAGGAATTGGAAATGAAGAATATTCAGGATACTCTTGCCCAAAACTTAAGTGGTGGACAGAAAAGGAAATTAACCTTTGGGATTGCCATTTTGGGAGATCCTCAGGTAGGTCACACTAAATGTGTACATAAATTCAAATTTAAAAATTCTTTATTTGCAAAGAACTTTTGTAATGAAAATTATATAATGGAGTATTAGATATAAGAGTAATACCTCACCACTATATCTTTGAAAATTACAACTGCTGTCTGTGTGGTCTGCTTCCCTTGTAAGTGGATGATTCTCTCTTGTTTCCTCCCCCACAGATTTTCCTCCTGGACGAACCCACTGCTGGGCTGGACCCCTTCTCAAGGCACCGAGTATGGAACTTCCTGAAGGAGCGGAAAGCAGGCCATGTGATCCTCTTTGGTACTCAGTTCATGGATGAGGCAGACATCCTGGCTGGTAACTGCTGGTTCTCTTAGTATCGTGTTGAGAACTTTAGGAGCCATGACAACATTGATGACCATTCCCCACGGCTGAATTTGCACAGATGGGCCCTGTGAGCATGGACAAGGTGGTCTTGCTCACAAAATGTGTGAAAAATCGATCACCCTCCCAACTCTGGTCACTGTGGTCACACAGGGTGTCATCTCCTAGGAGGCTCACTCGTTGTAAATTAATGACATTCCATATTGAAAAAGATATGAATGTATTCTGAATTGAATGAAGTCAACTTGAAAAATGCAGATCATTGATGCAGAATCAATTAAAATTTGTCATTTGGTATTTATCTCTCTCAAAAATATGTCCACATACTTAGGTCTTGCTGTGGAGTTGGATGACACAGAAATAACCAGTGGTACTCATCTAATAGTAACCTGTTCCTTTGCCATTATTGCAGTCTATGGTTAAAGCGGCATACACTTCTGAATAGTTCATAATACAGCTTATTGCCAGATGTCTCAAAAGAAGGGCAGAATCATTCTTTGTATCTTTTTTTTCAGACAGAAAACTGTTTCTCTCCAAAGGGAAGCTGAAGTGTGCGGGCTCTTCTTTGTTTTTGAAGAAGAAATGGGGGATCGGCTATCACTTGAGGTAGGGCCACTTGAGGGACTAGGAATGAAGGAGAATAAGCAAAAGTAAGCATGATACCTAACACAAACATTAGAAGACATAAGAACACCACATGTGCATAAGACGTGTGTGTACAGAGAGATAGAGGGTGGATGAGGTTGGAATATTTGATGTTTCGCATATTGAAGAGACCACAGATAAGGGAAAGCTTAGGGTAGATTTAGATAAATGTACACACTAGTTGATTATATTCAAGCCCAGTATTCCTATAACTTTTTCAGTCTTGACAAAACTGTATTTGGTCTCATCTAGAGTACCAGTATAGTTTCTTAGCTAGTACCCAAGAAGTTTTTACCACATTCATATAAATTGATTTGGTTTACATTTGGACTTATGAGTAATTTTTTCTAGCAATTTTTTTGAATGATATTGGTGTACATTTCAAATAATGCATGCCCTTTGATATTGAGCCCAGCTTTTAAGAATTGAAAACCTCTCTCCGTGTCTCTGTGTCTTTTTCTCTGTGTCTATTTTTTGAACACCAGTTTACAGCTCAATGAAACATGTGTTCATGAAAGAATTACATCACTTGTTAAACACCACATCCCTGATGCCAAATTGTCAGCAGAGAATGAAGGAAAACTGATCTATATATTGCCTCTGGAAAGAACAAATAAATTTCCAGGTAATTCATTATGTGGAAACCATAACATGAAATCATCAGCAAAGACAAGAAATAACATGACATGTCAGATTAATATGTACCAAGTATGATACTGAACTTTTGGGATGAAGCAGCATACCAAATTCTCGAAGTACTGTAAAAGATTGGTATGATAGCTATCCCCGTTTTAGATATGAGTAAACAGGTACACAGACAGCAAGTTACTTGCTAAAAATCATCCAGTATTACGGTGTGCCTTCAGTTCCATGATCTGAGGAAAGAGAACAAGGAAAGTCCTGTGGTTGGTGGCTCAAATGCTGTAGGTTTGACATAGTCCATAAACTTCTTCCAGGGGTGATGTCGTGTGTGTAAGCAACTTGCTCCTTGTGGATAAACTTACTCTATTGTATCTGTCTTCTAAAAAGCAACTAAGCATTTCTTGCCAGATGGAAAAGAACAAAATGCAACTTATCTGAAGTAAGAAGAAAACAAACCAAAACAAATCAAAATCAAAACTAACAATAAAAATTATGGGTTTATGAAAATATTCTAGAAATGTGTCATTGAGTACATAAGAAAAAAACAGCAGTAATTAGTTCTGCCTTCCAGCCACAGAGTTTAAAGTTGATTTAATGCTTACTGCAAGGATTGGGTTATTTTATAAATTCTAAGGGACATTGTCATACTATAGTGATTGAATCACAATGACTTTTAAGTAAGTCTTCAGTTTGTTTTTGCTGTCTTTCAATCACCTTAAAGTGTGAAGGCAAATATCCTAGAGTTCAAAATCTGTAATGAACATGGTGATTTGAAAACCTTTGGCTCAACTAATTTAAGAGCCTCATTGTGTGGCTGTTTCCTTTGTTGTGGCTTTAGAAACAGCTTTGGTTATCAGGCCAATGTATAAAGACAGATCTATGGTGCTGGTCACTCAGGGCATCTGCCTCTGGTCTCCAGGGATGATGACACCCAGGTTAGTGACTGAAACAGATAACTTTGCCACACAAGTAATATATTACCAAGCAAGGAAATTCAAATGCATATTTTCTCATAAAAATGCAAGTATGCCTTAGAACCAGTGGGCAATATGTTAATTGAACTCTTATCAGTCCACTGAAAAGGAATATGTGACTTAGAAAAAGATGAACTAAATCTCAAGTGGAATGAAGAATGGCTCTCAGTGCTCACCAGCAGTTCAAATCACATCCACTTTCCCGTATTCAGTACTGAGGAAAAATGCTTATAAATGTGCCTCTAACTCATGTATTTCAGGAGACAAAACCCTAGGACTTGAAGAAAATCAGCAGGATCCAGATTAGATTAAATTTATATTTCATTTATCCTCTGTAACTCAACCTTGTGGAAATAGAGACTTTGTTTATTCACCCACAATAGCGCACCACAGACATTTTGGATAATTGGATGGACGGATGGATGGATGGATGGATGGATGGATGGATGGATGGGTGGATGGGTGGATGGGTGGATGGAATCAGAATTTCTCGAAAAAGTGAATATTAACACCATATCCCAGACAAGTTCTATGTCAATCTCTCATTTTGTATTGTTTTTTTTCCATGTGATTTTATGTATTCTTTCCCTCTGAGCTCAGAAACAGAGATGACGGAGGACACAGTTCCTATGGTCTCCTCTCAGATTCATATATTATGAAGAAAAATTGATTCTGCATCACCATGGGCCTCTTAACAATTGCTCCTTCTATTTTGTTGATTAGACTCCATGTGGTTCCCCATTAGTGCCTTATTTTTTCCTAAACAATGTTAGAAAACTGGTTCCTGGAAAAGAGTATTCATTTAACTTGGCTTAGAGTTATACAGATCTAAATTTCCTTACAGATTTAATTTTTTAATATATCTAATAAAAATTCATAGGAAAGAAAAATAAATTTAAAAAATAAAAAAATTAATAGGAAAATTTCAGCAGAAATATGAATATAATAAATAATTGTCTTAGGAAAATAAAGCTTGGGCTATACTAACAGATAAACTCAAAATGAGAAGTTATTCATATTACTTAGAAGTAAGTTTATTTATTATGAAATTTTCAGGGGTTTTTTTTGAGTACCAGGGATTAAACCTTAGACCTTTACACTGAATACATCCTGGGCACTTCTTTTTTTTTTTATTTTGAGACAGGGTATGGCTGAGTAGCCCGGTTTGTACTCAAACTGGCAATCTTCCTGCCCTAGTCTCAATACCCAGAGTATTGAGACTATAAGCGTGTGCCACCACACCTGGCTAAAATTTTATTATGTAATGGGTATGTTTTGCATTTCACAAGAACATTTTCAAACCTTCCCCTATAGAATTAGAAAGCTGTGTTTATTACCCAACTCACTTGTGATTTTCATTATTTGTTCATTCTTTAGATCTTTATAGGGATCTTGAAAGCTGTCCTGACCTAGGAATTGAGAATTATGGTGTTTCCATGACAACATTGAATGAGGTGTTCCTGAAATTAGAAGGGAAATCTGATATTGACCAACCAGGTAAATAAAATTAAAAGAAAATACCGCATAAATAGTATTTACAGTGTCCTGTGCAGTGCAAATTTTGAAAACCCTTTGTTTCATCAGTGTCATAAAGTTTTCCTGAGCTTCCGCAACATTGTTAATTGTTTGGAAAACTTACAAAAGAGTGATCCTCGCATTTAAACCCTGGACACTTGGTTTTGATATATTGGAATTGTTTCTCATAGAAGTATTTCAAGACACTTAAAATAAAATCAGTAATTTTATAAGAGATATAACTTTTGAATGGTTCTTGTTATTTTCCTTTTTTTCTTTTATTGGTATTTTAGGTATACAATATGTTTACATTTATGATTGGGTGCTTGTACCTGTACATGATGTATCTTGGTTCTTATTTTTGTCCACATTACCTGTGCGCCCTTCACCCCCTCCACCCTTCCCTATTTACATAGACTTCGTTTCCATTTTTTTTCTTTTCTCATAATTTTTCCTTTCCCTTCTTTCCTTTCCCCTTCCCCTCCCACCACCCCTATGCCTTTGGACCTTTTCCTATTTCAACTATCAAGTATTTGTTTTAATCATTTTAATTCTTATTTACACTTTCAGTTTCTCACACTAGAGAAACTATTTGGTATTTACACATGTGTGTGCTATTTATTTCACTTAAGAGTATGGCCTCAATATGCATCCATTTAGCTATAAATATCTCTAGTTTCTGGTTCTTTATGGCTGAGTAGTACTCCATTTTATTAAAAAAAAATCTTCTTTATCCAGTTTCCAGTTGATGGGCACTTGGGCTGTTTCCAAGCTTTAGCTATTACAAACTGTGCCACTATAAATATGGACGCACATATATCACTGTGGTATGATTCTTTTAATTCTCTGTGGAAGATACCCAGCAGGGGAATAGCTGGGTCAAATGGGACCTCTAGCCCTAGTTCTATTTTTATTTATTTTTTCCCTTGAATTCCTTTATTGGTACATTTTAGGTATACAATACATTTACATTTATCATTGGGAACTTGTACCTTTACGTGATGCATCTTGGTTCTTATTTTTTCCCCATTCCCTGTCCTCCCTTCACCCCCTCCACCCTTCCCTATTTACAGACTTTGTTTCCATTTTTTCCATTTCTCATAATTTTTCCTTTCCCCTCCCCCTCCCACTTCCCCTACCCCTTTGGACCTTTTCTTTCTATTTCACATTATCAATTATTCATTTTAATCATTGGTACATTTTAGGTATACAATATAATGACATTCATCATTGGAAATTTGCACCTTTACATAATCTCTCTTGGTTCTTACTTTTCCCCCTTCCCCTGCCCTCCCTTCAACCCCTCCATCCCTCCCTATTTACAAAGACTTTGTTTCCAATTTTTCATTTTCTTATATTAATTCCATTCCCTTCTTTCCCTAGTTCTTTAAGATGTCTCCATACTGATTTCCACAGTGGTTGCACCAGTCTGCACTCCCACCAACAATGGAGAAGGGTTCCTTTTTCCTACACCCCAGCCAACATTTGTCATTGGTTGATTTCTTGATAGCAGCCATTCTTTCTCAGATGAGGTGGAATCTCAGTGTTGTTTTCATCTGCATCTCTCGAATGACCAGTGATGTTGAACATTTTTCATATATTTATTTGCTACTTTTACTTCTTTGTCTGAGAAATATCTGTTCATTTCAGATGCCCGTTTTTGAATTTGGGTCTTTAAGTTTGGGGGATCTGATTTTTTTCAATTCTTTATATATTCTCGATAGTAGACTTTGGTCTGAGGTACAGCTGCTAAAAATTTTTTCCCACATTGTAGATTGTCTCTTAGCTCTGTTCGTGGTTTCTCTTGCAGTGCAGAAGCTTTTTAATAAGATGAGATCCCAGTTGTTGATTCTTTGTGCTAGTTCCCATGCTACTGACATTTTGTTCATAAAGTGTTTTATTATGCCAATGTCTTCAAGAGTTCTACCTAACTTATCTTCCAGCAAGTTTAGTGTTTCTGTCTTAATATTTAGATCTTTAATCCACTTTGATCTTAGTTTAGTGCATGGTGATAGATATGGGTCTAGTTTTAATCTTTGACAGGTTGAAATCCAGTTTTTCCAACACCATTTATTAAATAGGCTATCTTTCCCCCTTAATTAAAATCATTCCATGGCTTCATTGGAGACATTAGAGTCAACAGAAAAGTAAGATAAGACTTGCTCCTCAATGAGAACTCTATCTTTTTAGACTTTTTTTCTTCTAATCTTTTCACATGTGACTGGTTTCAAGATGGTACCGAGATGCTGGAGAAATAAAAGTTCATTCCGAGTCTACTCAGAACACCTTCATGGGGACTAGAATTGTTTACTCCAAACTTCCTTCCCCCTTTTATCCAGAGTTTTCTGCAGTAGACTAGAAAAATGAAGCAGTTTGTAAGAATTTACCTGTTCCCTTTCTTCCAGCTGTTGGTCTCACACAGACCCAGCTATGGTGGTAACGGCCTAACGTAAGTTGCTCACCCTAGATCTCTTCCTATCCACTGGAACACCATCCAGTCTCAGCAGCTCATCCATCAGGGAGGCAGTGAATCTGTTCTGAAAGCCCACTAGCTCAAGGGCTTTGTCCAACTGACCCAGGGCTGGGATGCAACAGCCCCAGGAAGTGAACTGGACCAGATTTCTCTGCCATTTTTAGGCATTGAACTTATGGATTATATCTGAAAAAATTAAAATTTTGACAAAAGTGCCTTCCCATTTGTGAATATGGATTGGCTTGCCCATATTTTTCTGTTTGTACTTCAGCAAAATTTGATGACTTCTCTTTAAAGAAGCTCTTACACATGTTTTGTTAAATTAATTCCTAAGGATCTTACAGTGTATTGTATATTTTTTCTTCTTGTGTTGCTGTATTTTGGCTCTGTTAAATGAAATTTTTAAAAATCCATTTCTAATATTTCATCATATAAATCCTATTTATTTGTATGAATTGACCTGATAACTAATAAGCCTGTGGATTTGATTTTCTAGTATTGTTATGGTTTATTATTGTAGAAAAACTAATTGAATAAAAGATACAATAGTATTTTATATTCATAGTTTACTGAGATTCACCATGAGTCAGTTTTATTACTTAGTTAATGAACTGTAATTTAGATAAAATAAAATGCCCATCTACTAATTTTTCATAATGAGTAATTTAAATTCTCTTAACTAATCACATAAAATAAGATTTAGAACATTTTCTTCATCCCCTTCTTTATACCTTTCCTAAGCTTTGCCCCAAGTGAATCTCTATAAGCTACCTGTTCCAAAGTTTGTATCTCCCTCCTCTGGAAGCTAATACAAGTAGAAGAATAGTGTGCCAAATTCTTTAGTTTCATATTCTTATGATTTGAATGTGTCATATGTATCAGAAGTTTTTCCCCTTTATTGTTAAGTTACATTCTATAATTTATTTCCTTTTCAGGAAACATACTTTGAAGTGTTTCAATTTTCAGTGTATTATAAATTAAATTATAAATATCTGTATACAAGTTTTTATTTATATGTATTTTCATATTTCTTGGAATTTCTGCTCTTATTTACATAAAGATTGTGTTCAGTCACTGGATCAAAGAATGTTCTTGGAGAAAATTCAAGCAAGAGCCCACAAGATGCCACTTACTAGGCATTGCTTACATTTTATTTTACAGATCTTTGTGCTTTGGGAGATGTAGAAGCTGAAGGGCCAAGAGAAACAGGGAGGCTTTTTGAAATGGGAGAAACTGTCTCCTCACTTAGTGGGATGAGTGAGACACAGGCTGGTCTGGCTCTCTTGTGGCAGCAAGTGTGTGCTATTGCGAGGGTACGCTTCTTGAAGATAAAGCATGAAAGGAAAGCTCTCTTCATACTGTGAGTGTTGTTGGCTAATGTGGGTCCTTTCTTCAGTGATGGTGGAAATTTGTAAATTGAAACTGAGTCAGTGGCACAAATTTACCAGAAACAGCTTTAACTGGAAAGAAAATGGGAAGGAATTTTAGAATGAAGGGTGACTAGTGTGAGTCATAGTCATGTTAGCTGGAAACCAAGCCTGGAGTAAGGTTTATTTTGGCTCACATTTTGTAGAGGTTTCAGCCCATAATCAACTGTCTCGAAGCAGGGTGGTATGGCAGAGGGGCATTGCAGAGGAGAAACAGTTTGTGACAGGTAGAGGTCAGAAGGCAGAAGGCACCAAGCTACAAGTGACAATAGCAGCTTCTCTCTGCCCCTTTTATATTCCATCTAGGACACCAGGTTTCAGGTGGGCTCCAATCCAATCAGTGGACTGATTTAGTAATCACACACCTTAATCCCAGCACCCTTAATCCTAGCACCTCATCATGAATCGATCACACACTTTAGATCCAGCCACCTCTGAAAAAGCCCCACTTATGACTGCAGGAGGCTTTAGGGGAACCTCTAAACACAAGCCATAATAAGCCTGATCCTAAAGAGTTTGTCAAATCACATTAGCACCCTGTGTCCATTCCCACTAGTAGTCCCTCAGTCCTTTGTCAATCAATATGCAGATGTGAGGCATGGTACATAGCAGTATTTCAGTCAATATTGTTAATTAAATGGGTAATTAGAATTTCTAAAGCTTTTGAGGAGATCAGCAAAATCAAAGTCCAAAGAAATCTTTAAAATTAATCTGGAAAATCTTTAAAACAGACTGGGGAGACTACAGAATAGAGAATAGAGGGATGGTACCTATGTAGCAAAACAAGGAGTAGTGAAACACCCCAAATTTGGAAACCAGAAATGAGTGACGTTTTGAGATTTGCCCAGTAGTGCTAATGTAAGACTATCTAGATTTTTTTCAAATGAGAATTTTAAAAAAGAAAAATCTAAAAGTGTTTTTTAGTTTGAGAGGCTTGGAAAATGTTTCCACTAACAGAATAAGGAGCAATAGTAAGAGAACAAGTTGAGTCTGACATATTAATAGATGATGCAGAAGAAAGAGGGAAAATAGGACAGAAGTACTATAACAGTCTAGAAGTAGGATTAGAGTTCAAGAAGTTATATCCCACAATTGCAAAGGTAAAACCATAGTCAAAGAATAACAAGAGAAATGGACCAAGGATATCTCCATGGTTATCACTTCATTTTAGCTATCGGGGAAAAAAATCAAGAAATGAGAGAGCCACATATAGATTATGTCTATTTTAAACAATTTCTTGTTGTATGATATTCCTGGCTGCAGAGACCTTTTTTAAAGACTGGAAAATGGCTATGGATCTATACTGTTAATTTTATTCTACATAGGATATTGATTTTTGGAAGTGGACTTCTGCATATTTTGGCAGCAAATGCTCATAAGATATTCTATCCAGAAGACTACTGTTGGGATCTGTCTCCACATATGTACTTCCTCACCCCTGACCAACAACCACAGAAACTTCTCTCTAACTTACTGATCATCAATAAGACAGGTGAAAATGTTGCTCTCAATTTCCAAATATTCATGCTGTTAAAACGCTCCTTAGAAAACACAAGCAGGAAGGAAAAAAATGAGCATGTTTTAGACATGTTTCAAAGTTGAAGGCTAAAGAAAATAATCCTAATTTGGAGTAAAAATGCTGAAAGTGGTTAGGAAAGAACAAATGCATTATATGGATACATATTGAAAAATGAGTTTATATAAAAATGATTCAACATTTACTCTCATAATAATAATATATAGAGATTTGTCAAATCAAATAATTCATTGGTAGGGTTAATTTGTGTGTTTAAAAACACCTTGAGAATATGGTCATTTTGGTAGCCATTGGCAAGGCAATATATGAATCTTAAAAATTCCAATCCAAAAATCATAGAATGTCAACAAAAATTAGTTTTTTTTATCAGAAATCATAAGTAAATGAAAAATTATTAAAACATACTTATAAAATCTACATATAAAAGATCAAGAGATTTTTGTTCAAAAAGGAAATGTGGACCAACATTTTTAGAGTCTGTATTTTTGCTTGCTACAAGTGTTGACAATAAAGGGTCATTTTGATACATAACTTCACATGTTCTCTTGGTTTTTCATTGCCTCTTACATTTCACTGCCTATAAGGAGCAAGCATTGATGACTTTATACATTCACTGGAGAAACAGAACATAGCATTGGAAGTGGATGCCTTTGGAACTAGAAATGGCACAGAGGAGCTGTCTTACAATGGAGCCATCATAGTGTCGGGCAATGGAAAGGTATGTGGATACCAAGTTAGTGGTTTTACCTCAAAGCATGGCTGTAATACTATAACATCAGTGTGATCCAGAAAAATAATCTGCTCCATTGCACATATTTTTTTTCTGGTTAAAGAAAACATGCGATGTTGCTAAGCAAAGTTCATATCATCTAAAATCCATTGCAAAGATCAGAATCAAGTGTATGGAATTCTTATAATCCTCACAGAAATTTTACAGGATACGTAGTCTGAAAGTTTTGTTTTATTTAAAAATAATAAACTCTTTACCACTGGCCTTATCAGGCCTTAGGTCAGAGGACTCAAAGATTATCTTCAAATCAAATATATTCTATATTTATGATGAGTTTGGCCTTCTATAGGTTCGGTTGTAATTTTAATAATATGCCAACATTGAAATACTGGGATATTGTTAAATTATAATGTTAAAATTTGTGCTTCTTCAAAGAAAATGAAATTGAGGATCTAGTAATATATTGGCCAATTTCAGCATTTACTGTATTGTTGTATTTGAGAAGAATATTTATACATTTCACTCCCTAATGTTGTATTTTATCTTTCAGATTTCATAACCCTTTTGTTATATTTCAGAATTACAGCTTTTCATTGTCATGCAATACCAAGAGACTGAATTGCTTCCCAGTTCTTGTGGATATTGTTAGTAACGGACTGCTTGGAATGTTGAGCCCATCAGGGAGCATTCACACTGACCGAAGCACATATCCTGACGTGGTAGGTGCATCATCTCCCGAGTCTGTCAGGACTTTCCAGCTCACTCTGTTCAGAACGATCCTAATGGATCTGAATGTGACTGAGGAGAGTACCAGAGAGAGGAGCAGCATTTGAATGCATCCTGGTCTCTGGCTCTTAAAAATATCAGTCCACTTACAGAACTTAAATTTCCTAAATGTGAAACACAGCTAAAAAGATGTCTGAGACGTTTTTAGGGAGTGGATAAGGCAAAGAGCATGAGATCACTGAGCACCATAACCAGAGCATACCAGCCACTTAGGCTCCGGCCACTTAGCTCCTGTGCTCAGGTTCACCTGCTCGCTGCTGACCAAATGGAAGGAGGCCATATGTTTGGGTGAAAAGGAAAAAGGATTCATTCAAAGTTGGCTCTGCAGAAATGGAGGGGCCTATTTGCTTCAAGTCACCCTCCCATTTACAGGTGCGCAAGGGCCTTTTATAGTAGGGATCAGAAGGGAGGGGGTACAGAGGTACAGTGCAGATCTGCACACTTGCTCTGTCACTTCCAGCCATCTGTGGCTCATCCTTCTCTTTCTTGTGGTAAACAACCAGGCTCCTGGCCTCCTGGTGCTGGCACCTGCATATTCTGTCACTTCTTTGGGGCTGAGGAGAGAAGGAGGAAGTTTGGAGAAGTTGCTTATCTCTACAAGAAAAAAATTCCAACTTTTAAAGTTCCATTTCGCAGTGCTGATTACCATTAAAAGCCATATGTTTTTAATATGAGAGAATTAAGTGAAAAAAAAGGAAGAAAAATTATACTTCTTTGCACCTGAACCAATGGGTGTGATTGTGATCATCATTTTGTAATTATCAAGATTCGTAACACAGCAGAACAGAACTGCTTGACACTGCAACAGCAGACTTGCGGAGGCGTCATCGCACTCAGGTTCTCCCAAGTAACCCAGTCCCCGTGTCCGCTCAGGCCCGCTGAAGTGTTCTCCGTACATCAGACAAGAAATTTTGTTTTTACACAATGTAGATTCCAGGTGATCTGAATGTGTGTTATGGAGAACCAAAAAATGTATTAATCATTTGCAATTATTATTTGCATTAGTCTCTGATAAGTACATTTTTATCCACTGGTGGAAAAGAGACTGAATTTCCTATTGACATATTATACCCTGTCCTGGGGATAAGAACAGAAATAGGGTAAACATTAAAAATATATTTGCCAAATTAATAAATAAAACAGGCTAACAGTATATTTTACATCCTATTCAAATCTAGATTTCATTAGAATAACAAATGCCATTAATACATCTACACATAAAATAACAATAACCCATGTGTCCAAAATTATTTATATATTTTGCAGCATAATCATAACTTTCTTTTTATATCTTATTGTATGCTCAGAAAATATGAACTCCCTTCAGTAAGATGATAGTATAAATTTATTTTTCATGATAAGCACTGCTAACAGTCTGTTAAGAATTTTTTCATATATGATGTACTGTGTTTCATTAATCAAAATCTTCTTGGTTTAATTTTCTGGCTTCTGAAGTCATAAAGCAAGAATTGAGGCTTCATCTACAAAGTCATTATTAACAGTATTAAACTGTTATTATTAACATTATTAACGGTATTAACACAACTGTATTGTGTATTGTGTCATTCTGTATGGACACCAAGTGGCACAACTGACTTTATGCTGTCAGCCATGCTATCTTAATGCACTCTGCCTTTGCAGATTCAAGCAACTGTGAATACAAAATATTGGAAAAAATCTGTACTAAACATATTAATACACACTGATAATGAATGAAAGGAGATGGCAACCTCAAAACTAAACCAAGGCAAGATTTCAGATTATCAGATTAATTATATTTTGAGAAGGGCAACCAGAAAATGAATGTCAACTTTGTGCCTTAAGTCCTTTGCACTTCTCACATTTTCAGGATGACATCTACTCTCAGTTTAATAATCTAGCCTATCTCATCTCATGGATCGTTTTGATGTCCTGTCTCTCTCCTTATATTTCCATGACCAGCATCGATGACTATAAGGTAATAGAAAATAATGGAAAATTTAGTTTACTTAATTAATTAGAAATTGATTGTAGTGGATTATAAGGGGTTTCTTTTTTATTTTACCTTTTAGTCTCTATTTACACTTTCAGTTTATAAGGGGTTTCTTTAGACAGTATGCATGTTTACATATGGAGCACTTTCTTAACACTTGTAGGTAATATCAGTAAAAAGAAAGAACAAAAGGAAGAAAAAGGAATGAAGAAAAAAGAGAAATAAATGAAAGTTCAGAATATTTTATTTCTGGCTAATTGAATGAGATTTCTCCTCCTACCATGAATATTTTTGATAAAAATAGAATATTTGGTTTTAGACACAGGAAAATGGACAATAGCAGACTAGGATAACCAAGAGAAGAAAACAAGCAACATTATCTCTCCATTCATCACAGTTGTCTTTCTGGAAATATTTTGTGGAATAGACACTAATCAAAATACAAAAAATAAACTGAAGAGATAGAAATTTGGAGTTCAAGTAGGTTGAATTGGCTGGAATTTTCTCAGCAGGATCATTTAAAAGATGGAGCTACATAGAGAAAGAGCCACAGAACTCTGCATTAGGGTTGCTTTGAATTTGTTGCTAACACTAAGCAAAGCACCTGTAGTAAAACTACATGAAGGCAAAAATGAACAAACTGTTATAAGATGCATAATTCACACAGCCCACAAAGAAGTAGAAAATATTTGGTTTCCAATCAGTTATTAGAGGATTTATGAAAGGATTGAACCCACAAGGGGTGTGCTTTAACATTAGGGCTAACTTAGCCCTGTAGTAAAGCTTCCTCTAATTGTGTCTTTAACAAAAATTTTAAAACAAGATTAAAGTAGAGCAAGCAAGTGGATTACCAGACAAAACTGAACCTGCTGAAAGAAGAAAGCAAAGCCCAATACTCAACAATTTAAAATGCACATGAGCCAACCCAAGAAAAATTACTGGACATTCAAAGGAGGAAGAAAATACAAACAAACTGAGTGGAAAATCAACTGAGAAGAGACCCAGAAATGACAAAGACAAACAAATACTATTGTAAACAACAGAAATAACATTGAAAAAGCAAATAGTAATCTGCTTTAGATTAATGTGATGAGGAGCAGAAGAAATTTATGAAAACAAATCAAATGAGACTTGTATAAGTAAAGATTATCATACCTGATGAAAAATTAAACTACTGTTGTTTATAGCTATAGAAAGTGTATAAACTGAAAAAGAGAGAGAAAAATCTCTGAGAACCCTAACAGAGCCTTAGTTGTTTTAAGAGAATAAGTATACCAGTTGAATTCCCTACAGGAGAGGGGCCAAGTGACAGAAAATGTGTTTCAAAACAATTTTCAAAATTTGATGAAAAATATAAGTTCGCAGATACAAGAAGTTCACGGAATCCCAAACAGGACACATGCAAAAGAAAATCATTAGATGGTACATCATAATCAGATTGCTGAAACTAGTAATTAAAAAGGACACATCTCCAAAATAAAATGACATTTTACAAAGAAAAACAAAAACAGCGATAGGACAGGTCTAAGAGAACCTAAGCCAGAAGGTAAGGAAATAAAACCCTTAAAATGTTGAAAGGATAAAATTGCCAAACTAAATACATATATATGTCTTCAGCAAAACATACTTCAAAAATAAACGAACAAATAGATTTGATGAAAATGAAAATGAAGAGAAATCATTGCTGATAGGTACACACTTAAACATTACCAAAGGAACCCTTTCAGACAGAAGGACACTAACACCAGATGAAAATGGAAATATACATACAGTAATGAAGAACAGCAGAAAAGACAGATACAGGTGGGTGCAGAGAAGCAGCCTCATAATCCCAGCCACCCAGGAGGCTGAGGCTGGAATATCACAGGTTTGAGCCCAGCCTGGGCAACTTCAAGAGACATTATCTTAAAGCTAAAATAAATACATAAATACAAACAAAAGACTGGATATGGAGCTCAGTGCTAAAGTCCTTGCTGAGCGTGATGAAAATCAGGGCTCAAATCCATGTCAAATCCATATCAAAAATTATGATATAATGCTATTAGTTACTAATTACTATGTGGCAGATTATGCTAAAATTCAGTGATGAAAGCAATAACATCTAAACGATCTACATTGTACGGAATATGATCTCTATCCAAAATGTGATTAAATTAGGAAATAATAAGATGCTTAGAAAATTATGAAATACGTGAAAATTAAAGACTACACTGCCAATAATGATAGATCAGAGAAGAAATTACAATGAAAATTAGAAAATATGTTTAAGTATTTATAGTGTTAACAATGATATTTATTCAGAATACAACGAAGAAAATCCATTGTCCTATATTTGACTCAAAGTTGAGTCATTTCATGGAAAGTTAGCACTTAGATGGATAAATTCTTTCCTTTATGCCTTTAAGTCACTGTTTTATTCACTGTAGTATAGATTACATCATTATTCTGAGACCTTCTCCATATCTCTATCAAGAAGATTTTGAGTGATCATTTCATTAATTACAAGCAAACTTGGAAATATTAGTTTTGAAATTACCCATATCCATTAGTCTGTAAAGCATTTGGAGGCGAGGTGTGTTTCTATTAATATGAATTCATTTAGTTGTTTTCTTATATGTTCTATATCTTCTTAAAAGCAAATTTCACCATTCATTTATTTATATCTCTCATACTTTATTCAGAACAAAGCTCAACTGCAGTTGTGGATTTCAGGCCTGAACCCTTCTGCTTACTGGTTTGGACAGGCACTGGTTGAAGTTCCAATCTACTTTTCACTCATTTTCTTTATGTATTTAGTATACTATACCTCAAAAGTAAAAGGGGATATATATACAGCTGTTGATGTACTTATTGAGGTAAGTGACAGTATTCATAAAATAAATAACACGAGATGATTTAATCAGAAATATTGACATTCATGTAATGTAATGCATTCTTTTATATTTAATATTTTGTTTCATTTTTAAGACTTTTTTATTGTTGTATTATACAAGTAACATAAAATTTGCCATTTTAATAATTTTTGTTTGCAAAATTCAATTTAATAAAATTTTTTTCATTCACAAAACTTCATGCTCCTTAAACATAATTTCCCATTTCTTGCTACTCCCAACCCCAGGTTACTGCTATTCTATTTTCAATCTCTATGAATTTGCCTATTCTATGTATTTCACATAATATTTGTCCATTGGGGGCTGGTTTATTTTGCATAACATAATGTTTTTAAAGTTGCATGCAATAGAACTTCATTCCGTTTTATGGTTAAATAATATTCCACTGTTTGTACATAGTTCGTTTGTTCATAGGCACTAGAGTTGTTTCCATTTGTAGACTACTGTGAATAATGCTGAAATGAACATTGATGTAAGATTGTTTCAGTTTTAAGTGGAATTACTGAGTTGTATGGTAATTCAAAGTTCATCCTTTTGAGGAATCAGGCTGTTTCCTACATTAACCATACTGGTTTATATCACCATTAACAATGCACGATAATAAATATGGTATTATCTTTGTTTTTTGTTTTTCTTTTTTTTTCAAAAATTTTTAGTAAAACCATCCTGGCAGGTGAGAAGTGGTCTCCCATTGTAAGTTTGATTTGCTTTTCCCTAATGACTGATGATTGTTTATTGACCAGGACTCTGTCTTCTTTGAAGAAATGTCTCTTTAAGTTGTTTGTCCATTTTTTTTTTTTACTGGACTTGTTTGATACAAATTCTTTAAATGTTTGATGGAATTTACCAGAGGAACCATCTATTTTTGCACTTCATTTTTGGAAAGAAGTTTGATTCCTGATTCCAGCTATACACACACACACACACACACACACACACACACACACACACACACACATTTTCATTTTTAAGTCAGGTAAGGTTATGTGTCTCTAGGAATTTGTCCATTTTATCTAGTCGATCTGTTAGTTTTGATGAACAATTGGTCAGAGTATTCTGTAAATTTCTTTTGGTTGCCTCCTCATTTTATTTCTGTAGAGTTGGTAGTAAGATCCCCACTCTGACTTTCAAGTTTACTTATTTGCCTCTCCTACTTTTGCTTTGTCATTCTAGCTAAAGTTTTGTCATTTATGTTGGTATTTTAAAAGTATCAACTTCTGGTTTTCTTGATTCTTTCCATTCTCTATTTCATTTTGGGGGGCTCTATTATTTCTTCCCTATCTACTATCTGTTAGGCTAGCTAACTCTTCTTTTTCTAGTTCTCAAAGATGTGATGTTCAGTTTTTGATTTATGTTAATTCTTCATTTTTAACAAATGCGTTTACAGCTAGAAATTTCCTTCTGAGCACTACCATAACTTCACTCTGCAAAGTTTTGATGCATTGTGTTTTAGTTTTCATTCATTTGTAGATATTTTCTAATTTTTGTTGTGATTTCTTCTTTGGTCCTGTCTCCCGTCAGTCCTATTCCCTCTTCGTGTCTCATTTCCTTCATCAATGCATTTTTACCATTTTAACTTCTTGTAATGGATCATTTTGATTACCTTTTGTTACTGATTATAGCTTAGATCATTTCTTTGCAGTAACCAGGAGGATTATATTTATTATCCCAAAGTATAGCAATCTAATTTGAATGGATAATCAATTTACTCCAAATACACGTAAAAACTCTGCATTACCTCCTCCATGCTGTTGTCACCAATGACATCTTCCTACACTGTGAGCCCAACAACAAAAATTAGTAATTATTCTTCATACGTTTTCATTTAAACCATATAGGAAATAAAAAATGGAGTTAAACTTAAAAATAGAAGACTATTCATATTTGCCTATGTAATTACTTTTACTGAAAATATTTATTTTTTGTACAACTTCAAGTTGCTGTCAAGTGTTCTTTCATTGCAACCTGAAGGACTCCCTTTAGTAGCTCTCATAAGTCATATCAATTGGTAATGAACTCCTTTTGCTTCTGCTTTTCTGGAAATGTCTTAATTTTGTCGCATTTTTGGGCAAATGACAGTTTTTCCAAATTCCAAAATAAGAATAGTTGCTTAAAAGTTTTATTCTTTCAGAATTTTAAATACATCATTTCATTGCCTTCTGGCTTCTGCCATGTCTGATGAGAAATTGACTATCAGTTAATTAGTGATTCATCATATATAATGAGTCATTTACCTCTGCTACTTTCAAGATTATCTTTTTGTCTTCATATATCAACAGTTGGATTATAGAGTTGAGATCAAACTCTTTTGGTATGAGACAGTTTTTTTGTTTTTACTTTTGTTTTTCTATTTAGAGTTTGGTAATCCTATTAGATGTGAACATTCATGTGCTTCATGAAATATGGACAGTTTTCAGGTATTGTTTCTTCAAGAGCTCTTTCTGTCATTTTTTTATTTTTTCTGGAACTTCCTAGATGTATATATTGGTTCACGTCACAGTATTTCACAGATCTCTTAAGCTCTGTGTACTTTTATTTTCTTTTTCTTCTACTCCTTAGACTGAATAATTTTAATGGTCTGTGTTCAAGTTTGTTGATTTTTTGCATCCAACTCAAATGTACTGATGAATATCTTCAGTGAAAGTTTTATTTCAGTTGGTATCTATTTAAATTCTAGAATTTCTGTTTCTGTTCATTTCTATAATTTATATTTGTTTATTTTCACTCTCTTTTTAAATATATACTTTTTATTTCCTTCAGTTCTTTCTCCATGGTTTTCTTTAGTGTTTTTGAATATATGCAATATAATTGTTAAAGCTGTCATTTGGGGCTTTTTTTGGTTTTTTTGGTTTTTTTCTTTTTGGTACCGGGTATCGAACTCAGGTCCTTGCACTTTCAAGGCAGGCATCGGAACCACTGAGCTAAATCCCCGGCCCTAAAGCTGTCATTTTGTAAGTTCAATATCTAGACTTCTTCAGAGTTTTTTATTATTTTGTTCCTTTGAATATAGGATACATTTTTCTATTTCTGTTTTAGGTTTTTGGAAGAACAATTTGAATATCATAACATGGTAACTCTAGATAACAGGTTCTCCCCTTTGTGTAGAATTTGCTATTTTTAGATACTATGGCTATATTCATCTCTTTTTTTCTTTCTTTTGGTAGTGGGGATCAAACGTGGGACTTTGCACTTGTGAGGCAGGCAGCAGAACCACTGAGCTACATCCCTGGCTCTATATTTATCTTTTGGTTAGAGTATTTTCCACAACATTGTCACAGGCTGTATACTCAGCCCTATGTGATAACTGAAATCTCTGTTCCTTTATCTAGTTCAACTCATGTTTTTGAAAGAGATTTCCTTGAGAAACAGAAACTCAAAAATCTTCTCAAGCCTATCCAGATAGGCTATGTTGGTTGGTGCTCCTTCAGTGGTCATTCATCTTTGCACGACTCTTCTCAGGTTTTTTCACGGGTACACATTCTGCCTTAGTATTTGTGTGACTTTCTAAATATCTTGGCACATATGGGTGCTTTTGAATGCTCTTATTTCCCTATGAAACTCTCCTTAGAAAATTTTTATAGGTTCAGGATGATCTACTTTATATCTCAGCTATTCTATTTTGCTCCAGGCTGCTACAGAATGTTTATTAGCTTTATTTGTTTTTGAGCAATATTTCCCACTTTTCCACCCTGAGTGAATTTGCATTAGCTGAAACTAGAGAAGATGCCTGAACCTGCTCTTCAGATAACTCTCAAACAGATTAGGTCAGACCTTTACAGTAATTTGACAATAAGATTAGCTGTGTTCTACCTGGAATTGGTGAGCAGGATCCTGCATTGAAACATAGGTTGCCATCTTTAGGACAATACTCCCTGGGGAAGGAAGGAGACAAAAGCAAAGTCAGAACATGCTAAAGCATACCTATCATCTTAAAATGGACTTTTTATTGATTCAGAATTTGCCATGAAACTTTGACTCATGTACTGAGTTCTGACAAAGTTGGTCCTGCCAGTGCTGCTTATTTTTTGATATTTCTGTTGAGAGATAGGAATTTGGAGCTGCCTACTCTACCATTTTACTGTTATCACTCCTTTAAACAATTTCAATGACATTTAAAGTATTCTAGTTGATATAATTTAAAAGATCTTGTTGTATGATAAGTTTTGGATCTAAATGGTTTCCTGGACTGCATTTGTCTTCCATACTCTTAATAGTGTCTTTAATTTCAGATCCTATATATTGTTGGTTACTCCGTATCAGTTATCTTCATGACATATGTGATTTCATTCATCTTTCGTAATGGGAGAAAAAATAGTGGCATTTGGTCATTTTGCTTCTATTTTGTAAGTATATTTACTATAGATGTGTTTATTTTTATTATGAAGAGCTAATGCTTTATTAATTTTAGTGGGCATCAGATAAAATAATAGCACATTTGAAATACTTCTACTGTATTTTTCTAGGCAATTTTTAGGGGTTGCGTGATATAATTGTGGATATATACATTTGTAAGTATGCTTTTTCTCTCCATATCTGCTTTGTTCTTTTTTTGAAAACAGTCAAGTTTCTTATACTACCATAAAGTTTGGAATTTTTAGGAAACTTGGAAATCTTTCTAACATTCTTCTTGGGGAAAAAGTAACTGAGGTCCAAAAGACCCCAGGAAGTTGCACAAGATTACAAATATTATTAATGAAAGCTAAAACTGAAGACTAAGTCTCCAAATTCCCCATTCAGAATTCTTTGATAAAAATCATAACTCTCTCCATAAAATTAGGAGGGAAAATACGTGTAAATTATATGCACTTTTTCTAACTTGTGTTTTTTAAACATTCCAAATAAATCATCATTCAATAAATATTTGTTGACTTTCCCTGTGTGCCAGGCATTGAGACTCATGAGTGATAAGACCCATAAAATGCACAGTATCTATTTTCAAAGAATCCTTTAGTAGAAATAGATGAACACACAAGTATTTATACAGCCAGATACTAAAGACAAGAGTGTCCATTGAGGTAGATCATCTATATAATAATTGAGTTTTTTTAAAAAACCATGAAATGCAGAGATTGGCTAATTTCTGGAAATGAATTTCATGCCAAGAAGATTTCTTAAGAATGAGAAACATTTCAATTAGTAAAGAAGGATAATGAAAATAGAAAATAATGAATGAACAAAACTTCAAAAGGGAAGAAAATCGGGCTGATCCTAGAAAATGCTAAGAACCTGGTGGCATGTGTACAGGACAGAAAGCCAAACCCAAATGTCCTAGCTAAGATGGAAATTTAGGTTGATCCAAGTCTAATCTTAACTGATAAGCTCACCAATCTATTCTCGGGGTGATTATCTTTCATTATGGGAAAATGTGAAAGCTTTTGTAATAGGAATACAATCAGAGATAGAGTTTTAGAAACCGTCCTGTGACAGCCATGAAAATGACAGTTTGAAATAAAAGGCAGGACAGGCCTTCTCTGGAGTCATTATAGTAGATTAGAAGAGGAAGTGTGAATCTGTACATGCGAGCATCTCATCTCTGAACTCTGTGCTATAATATTTGTGCCCATGTCACTTAAAGGTATATTACATGCTTATATTTCTCCTTTTGATATACCTAAGAAAATGGTTCCCTCTAATTTTTCATTTCTGGTTTTGATCAATTTCAAGACCATTTTCCTTTAATGATTGTCTGAATCTTACTTTTCTCTTTAAAGAACTTTATATTTGCTTTTCTATAACTAAATCAGAATGTAAAAAAATTTAGTCTATACATCATATCCTAAAATTTGTCCAGTTTTGATATATTTGTCATAGTCAAACAAAAGAAAGTGAAGCCTAGCTGGAAATGTTTATGATAATATTGATTTTATCTTGGTTCGTGAAGTGTATGTCAAAATCAGAAAAACTTCATATGATCTCAAATTTGAAAATATACTGTTTCAGAGAGCAGCATAACATAGATATTTATTTTTCTTTTAGGTCACACTGGTTTCTGCAGCTGTTATGGGGGATTTCCTTGGAGACATATTTCTGTATTGTGTCAGTGCCTTAATTCCATTTGCCACCTTGGTTGGTTGTACAATGCTACATTTTGACGTAAGGAATCCCAATATTTGTTCAAGTGTCTTGAAATATGTGGCTATTTAGGAAAGCTTTGTCCTTAGTTGAAAAATATGTGCTTTGAAAGCTGAATACCTAAATTTTTTTCACTGAGTTTATTGGTACATTTTAGGTATGCAATACAGTTACATTCATCTTTGGGATCTTGTACCTTTACATGATGCATCTTGGTTCTTATTTTTTCCCTATTCCCCTCCACTCCCTTCACCCCCTCCACCATTCTCTATTTACAAAGACTTTGTTTCCATACCAAAAGTGTAAACAAGGATCAAAATGTATAATTGATAATGTGAAATAGGAAGAAAAGGTCCAAAGGAGTAGGGGAAGTAGGAGGGGTAGGGGAAAGGAAAGAAGGGAAAAGAAAAAATATGAATACCTAAATTTTAAAAATTAAAATATAAAGTCCCTCCCCACACCAAGAATAGTCCATAGTCCTGTTGGCCTACAGGTACAAATTTACCTCCATTACTGGCCTCTGGTACAGGGTAATGAGCAGGTGGAAAATGTTTATACTGATAAAGTCATTGAATATATTTAGTCAAAAAAGAGCAGACAAAAAATTCTCCCCTAATATTTGGGATTGAGGTTACTAATGCTTGATACACCCTAGTATTACATTTGATACTACATTTTTTATTTGGCACAATAGAGTCACATTTGATTTGGTACTCTCTATTTTTATTTCATACAAAAGGAATAAATTCCCATTTCCTAGTGACTAATTTCTATACATATATAAACAGAAGGGGGACGTATTACTCAAAATAATCATCACTTCACCTGTTAGTCTATCAGAGTTTTTCTGGGTATGTCAGCCTTGGGGAATCTGACTCAAGCACTGGGCCCTCTCCTCAGAAAAGTGCACGTGTGGAACAAATTTCATGATTCTGTGGTTAGGAGCATCTTCTGGGTGAACCTCTCTGTGTTCTCATTGTCTGAGAACTGAGCTTGGGCTAGGAAAGCAGCATGGTGGTTCTAAGCATCTAATGAAAAGAGGGATGGCAGAAGGGCACCATCAATGAGCAGTGGCGCAGGAGAGGGAAAACTCCGTCTCCCCCACCATGGGGATTTGCAAGCACCGAGCCTCTGAGTACCTGACCTATAATCACTGAATCTCATTCAAATAAAAGCAGTGTGTCCCTCACATGTGTCTAAGAATTGGCACATCCCTTGTCCCATTGGGAAACCTGGGGAAATATAAGCAGATCTGCTCAGTGGGCCAGTCACATTTGTTTGAGTAAAACTCATGAATCACAAAACTTTGTATTTAAAGATTGTCCTTCCTTTTCCAGCACCGTATATATCATGATGCCCCTTCAGAACAAGGGAAGAAATATGACTTTCTGGTGTTCCTAATTGTAAGCCTGACTCTCGTTGAAATATTATTGCATTTGGAGAAATATCTTTCATTATATTCTTCAATTGTGCTTTCTTGTTTATATTTTGAAAATTTACTTAAGGTGTTTTATACAACTTAAGTCCCACCTAAACACAATATCTCTAAAATTAGAATAAATCTTTACAAAGATCCTAATAATGCTTAATTCTTGGAGATAAAGATAGATATCACCTAAGTATAAATAAAATTTTGTGTTCAGTGTAATATAGATATATTTTGATATAATATAAAACACTACTAGTTTTTCTCTCCAAAGAAATGTAATTGAACTTAACTTTTTGTGACTATCCTAATAGTCTGTCCTTCAAATTCTCAATATTTTTCCAAATATGCTTGTAAAAGAACGAGAATTTCTAATTCACTTCTGATATTCCCTTTTAGTATTTCTAATTTTGAGTGTCTTTCTTTCTCCTTAGCCGTATGTTCATTTAATCATCTTTCTTGTTATTCTTCGATGTCTGGAATGCAAGTTTGGAAAGAAAACAATGAGAAAGGATCCTGTCTTTAGGTTTGGAAAAGTATTTTAGTGGTTTTTTTAAAATGATAACTACTTAAAGATATTGCATACAGGGAAAAACCTAGTCAGTTATCAAGGGCACACTAGGATATACTGAAGCATTGGCTATAGGACAGTACACTTCAGTGGAATTCAGGGACTGGGCTTTAAGACAATTGTGACCTCGTAGTAGTCAGAACAGCACTAACACATGTGGTTCACTAAAAGCAAGGGTTTCATCTGCACTGTTTTCAGTGGGGGCCTGTGGCACATTAGATGGGACAGAATCACTTTGAATAGTAACTGGTTCTGTGTAGCCTACAGCTAAAGGAATAAAGTGGATACAGAAAATAGTACAGAGTGGGTAAGAGGCCAAAGACAGCAACAACCACTCTTTTCCTGGGAGGGTGAGAAGCCCTGCAAGTAGATCATGAACAATTCCTCTCAGACTGTAGTAGAAAAGGAAATGGAGTCAGACATGAAATGACCTTGAAGGAGGACACTTTCTAGTCAGAACTCAAGAACAGAATCAGAAGCATCTTTCTTTGGAGACCTCATTCATCATTGGAATCTCCATTTAGAAATCTCCACTTGCCTAGAGTTTTCACAACCTTAACACTGGAAGTCCCATATCCCAAGAAGACCCTCAGTTCCGAAAAAACTAAGCTAGTCGGCCATCCTGCCACCATGTTAACGTCATCTTTAACTGTGACAGAAAGTTGAGTGCGAACATGACAGAAGACCTTGAGAGTACCATCTGCGATCACATGGGACAAGAAGGGGTAGAGGAACCAGAGCCTAGAGTAATGATCTTGGTATTAAGGTTTGAGCTGGAATGAAAAAGAAAGTAATGCCTGTGCTGAATCATATAGCTAGAATTTTCTGTGACACACCTGATTTTTAAATATTCTAGCCCATTACTATCAAAAAATATTTTGATAATATCCATGTTTTGGCATCATAACTATGGTTTCCAAAATATTTATCGTGAGACAGTATATAATTTTCTTGCTAGAGTATGTGTATTAAGTTGTCTGTTGAGATGAAAAAGTGATAGCTCCATAGTAAGGATAATGAAAGAGAGAGAAGAAGCAATGATAGCTTACTTTGCTGACACTACAGACTAAATCACGAAGGTTGTAAAGAGGAAAGGTTTCCTCAAAAGACAGAAATTATGAAGTGTTATGAATCATCCACTCCACTCAAATATAAAGTTTAGAGGATGAAATGATCTTGGTATGACACTGGGAAACAGCATCTGATTATTAATGAAACTCTTTAACTCTAGAATTTCTCCAAGAACCAGTAGTGTATTTCACAATCTAGAAGACCCAGAAGGGGAGGATGAAGATGTTCAGCTAGAAAGAGTAAGAACATCAAATGCTTTAACATCTCCAAACTTTGAGCAGGTAAAATGTGCCGAGTAGTTTTTTCACCAACTAAGAAAATCATTGTCAGTTAAATGAATCCAGTTATGAAATAGTGTGTTACCCTACCTCCATATTTCTTGGTATCTTAACTCTTTTACACTGTTAAAAATTGTTGGAAAGCCCAAATACCTTTGGTTTATGTGGGTTAATCCATGAAGATTTACTATGTTAGAAATCAAATTGAGAAATGGTTTAATGTTTAATATACTTCTGTACTTAAAATTATTAAGCCCAATACCTGTTAGCAGTAGTAACATTTTCACAAAAATAACTATGATTTCCAGTGAGAAGAAAAGTTATTTTATATGTTTGCAAATGTGTCTTATGTCTGGCTTATAGAAGAAAGATATATTCTCACATCTTTCATATTTTGTTTATTATGATGTGTTATCTTGGTTGAAGTATATGAAGAAAATTCAGTCTCATAGACAATAGTTCAGAAGATTATCAGTATGTTCATAGTCTTTCTTTTTATATTCTTACGGTATTTTTCTTCGATGTTATAATAAAACTAGATAACTAATAGTTTCTTTAAGCTTAGTTACAATGTAAAATCTAAAATCCTATTTTAAGCTATTTTAGGGTTGGTTACCTGAAAATGCATTGGTCTGTCTTACCCTCTGAATAGGCCTTTAGCCTCGCCCGATGTTTAACACTATGCATTGGTCATTCGGCACCCATTAGTTCGTACAGTTACTGTGGTTTTTCTAAATGTTAATGTATTTCATTCAGTAGCAATGAAAGCACCTTTGGTAATTTCTCAGTCACTCATTTCAGAAAAATATTTACATTGATAGCTGTCAAAGCCATAATGATGGTTACAAGTCTTAAGATTTCCAAAATTTGGCCAGGCATGGTGGTGCACGCCTATAATCCTAGCACTTGGGAGGCTGAGGTAGGAGGATGAGTTTGAGGCCAGCCTGGGCTACATAGTGAGTTCAAGCCTGGCTAAACTGCGTAGTAAGACTCTGTCTCATTTAAAAAAAAAAAAATTCTAGTTTTTGCTTGAATTCCTAATTTTATCATCTCCAACAGTTAATATCAATTGTATTCTGTGAAATGATTTTGTTAAAAAATCTGCCAAATTCCAGAGTGATTGTCAATTTCTCTTTGAAATAAAAACAGAATTTCATTTATAAAGTACCTCCTTCAGCTCAGAACTCAACTATGTAATTGCTTTGCCTGGAAATATCATTGTTCTTTTATACAGCAAAAGTCTTTATGTGTCCTCCCTTCTTTGTCACTGAGACTATAAAGATAATCAGTACCCAAAAATTGAGCTTTAATGAAATGATCCCCTTTTAATTTTTCATCAGGGACATTTTCAAAAGAAAGAGGCACATTTTTTCCCATTAATGCATGGTAGGAAAGCTTTCACTGATGGGTCACTGGCTTGATCTATGCAGCAGTTTGATTCTTCATTGCTTTTGCACCATCAATATAAAAATTTCTATATTTAGTCCTGGTTAAAAAAAACACCATATATATCATATACCATCTCCATGTATGACTTGTCATTTACAGAAACCTGCCATTATTGCTAGCTGTCTACGAAAGGAGTATACAGAGAAGAAATGCCTCTTTTTTAAGAGAAAGAAGAAAACAGCAACAAGAAATGTCTCTTTCTGTGTTAGAAAAGGTTTGGACCCAGTAACTCTTCTGTTTTTGGCTGAGGAACTTCTTTAATAAAAATTAATTTCTCCTTGAATAGGGACAGAGTGGGGTCTGAATTAAAATAACAAGCTTTGCATTAGAATAAACCATTGCAACTGCACACTTCATTTTTTAGCATTAATTGCTTTCCTAATGATCACTACTATACACCAGAGAACTGATCTGGGCTAGGCTAGTACATTCTGAAGTCTTGAACATGTTGGAGGCAGAGGGTAAAAGGAGCCAATCTGCTGACTTCTGCCTCTTCCATTTGACACAGCTGCCTTCCAGGCGTGGAACTGTCATTCCTCATATGCCTGGCCTTTGGCAAGGAACTGAAACTCTTCAAGGTTTTAACCTCTCTAGGGCCACCATGACAATTAAAGGGAATATTATAAATAAAGCACGTATCACATACTGAGATGTCTAACGATAGTGTTATTATTACTGATGTATGTTCTTTTCTTGCAGGTGAAGTTTTAGGATTATTAGGACATAATGGAGCTGGTAAAAGCACATCCATTCGGATGATAACTGGAGAAACAAAACCAAGTGCAGGTCAGGTAGGTGGACAAGATGAATAGTATTTTATCCAACAATATCCAGGTGGCAACCTGAATAATGTTACTCACTAGTTTTTTAAGTTATTTAAAAAATATATTGAAGAATAAATTTGTTATTTAAGCAATATATTGAACAACAAATTACTACTTTAAAGCACACAAATGCTAGTCATTGAATATGGATGCTTGTTTAACTGAGTTAACTTTTTATTTCTTTTAAGCAAATTAAGAGGGAATATTGCCCAGCATAACTGGATAAGAATCATTATCAAAATTGTAACAAATTCTGTTTAGTTGGCCTCATAATTTATGGATTATATTTAATGGACATTGTTAGTTCAATATTCTGATGTTTAGTGTTGAGTAGAATTGTGTAAAATATAAAACAAAATCTTTTGTTTACTGCCCTTCCTAATGTGCTATTGCCAATTGAAAAGTCACTGAGCATACTCGGTCTTCCCAGAGACTTCCCCAGTACAGATGGGATAAAGTGCTTCTAAGAATGGCGAGAAGTTGAGACACAAGGCAGTGATGTTGAAGAAAGTTTGCTCCCTGCACTGCCTGTATTAGAGGCAGAGGCTGGGCAGGATGTCAAAGAGCTTGGAGTTATCAGAGAGATCACAAGACAGAGACAAAATGTTTTCTGCCAATTTCTGTGACAGGAAGTAGAAAATCTCAAGAACTCCTTTGGAAAGCATTCCAAGAGAAGGCCGAGGTCTGTGACACTGTGCCAGGGGAAAGTGTCAGTGGTCAATCCAGGGGGGAAAGCGTAGCCATGAATATCACTGACAAATTTCTCAGAAAAAGAGGGAGAAGTCCCACATTCATAGTTCCTCTGAAGCCACGATGACAGCAGGCAATGGGAAGAGGTCTCTTTGGAATGTCCCCGGCTCAGCTGACCCTACCTGGACTGCTTACTCAGCTGGGGCAGCTCTCCAGTGCAGACACCCCAGGGCCCCAAATCAGTTCAGTATTGTTCTTCTCATCAAACAGTGGAATAAAGGCATAGTTGTTCATTGCCCCACTGGCATAAAACATTTCAAAATGAGAGCTCTAAGTGATAAAACTGACTTCTTAGGTGTTATGAAATGAGCTTAATCAGATCTGCCAGTATGACGGTTTTCAACCATGTTATTCTCTTAAATACTTCCAGTAATCCCCACTCTGACAGGTCACCTCTCCTTGACCTGTGGCTGGCTGCAGTTGCTGTCTTCCGTGTATTTCTGCTGCAGCTCTCTCTCCTTTGCTCACCCTACTCCTGACCTTGGTCCAAGATCACATCAAGCTTCGCCCTGCACAGGGCTTTGCTCTTGCTCTTTGTTCTGCCCCAGACCCCTGCCTCTGCCCACAGATGGGCTCTCTGATCGCCCAATCTAAAACACTTTCCCCTGCTCTTCTCCACCCCAACTTCACAAATATTATGTCAAGCTGCTAATAAAAAACTGTTTTATCCAATTTATTATTTGCTTATCCCATCACAGAATAGAGATGTCATATGGGCAGAGATACTGAAGAGTTTCTCCTTTCCAGGCAAAGCTCTTGTGCAACATCTGAAACACAGAAGAAACAAAAAAATAAAGTTATCTGAATGAAATGAAGTGTTGAACAATTAAATTAAGGTGCTTTAGTCTGATACCATTGAAGGGATTTATTATGTCAGCCATAATTTCAAGATTCAACAAGTCTAACATATTTCATTTTTTCTTTTAAAAAATAATTTCTAAAATGTATTTTATTGGTATTTAATAATTGGACTTCTTTATGAGGTAACAATATGAAGCTTTCTATATTGCTTACAATATGGAATGGTTAAATCAGGCTCATTAACAAAATCTACCACCTCACATACTTATCATTTTTTGGTGGTGAAACATTTAAAATCTATTCTGTTAGCAATCCAAAAAATGAAATGAATTATTATTTATATAGTCACCATTTTGTGTGAGAGATCATGAAAGCTTACTCTTCCTTTCTAACTGAATCCATGTAAGCTTGGATCAACATTTCCCTTTCCTCTTCCAGCTGCCTCTTCTGTCCTCTGGTAAACATCATTCTACTTTCTAATTATATGAATTCAACTTCTTAGAGCCTGCATTTAAGTGAGAGTATGCAGTACTTGTATTTCAGTACCTGTCGTATTTAGCAAAATGTCCTCCAGATTCACCCATGTTGTCTCAAATGACAAGATTTCCCTTTTTAAAGGGCTGAATTGTGTTCTGTTGTGCATGGACACCACGCTTTTTTCTCCATTCATCCATTGCTGGTCACTTAAATTGATTTCATATCTTGCCTGTTATGAATAGTGCTGCAATAAAGAGGGGAATGTAATATCTCTTGGGCATAATGATTTTAATTCCTTAGGCTATATACTCAAAAGTAGGATTACTGGGTCACATGTTAGTTACAGTTTTCATTTCCTGAGGAGAATTCGTATTATGTTCCACAATGGCTATACTGAAATATGTATACCATCCACAATAAACATGAATTCTCTTTCTCTACCTCCTCACCCATGCTTACCTCTAGTCTTTTTGATAATAGCTCCTATCACGGGTGTGAGGTGACATTATTTTGTGCTTTTAACTTGCATCTCAATGCATTTCTCAACATAGGATAATGTGATACCTTTGCATACGCTTGTGTCTGTGTGTTCATTCTCTGAATGAATTCTTTCTCCCCAGCTAGATTGTGACCAGAACTAATAAGGAGAAAGAAACCATACCAATACTAAGAGGAGCATTGCAAATGCAGGTTCTGACATCTGTTCACAGGTGCTCCTGAGAGGGAGCAGCTCGCCTGAACCCCAGGGCTTCCTGGGGTACTGTCCTCAGGAGAACGTGCTGTGGCCCAGCCTGACCGTGAGGGAACACCTGCAGGTGTTTGCCGCCGTGAAGGGGCTGCGCAAGGGCGATGCTGAGGTGGCTGTTACACGGTACACGGGGAGCCGCACCTGGCTGTTCTGTACCCAGGGGACAGAAGGAAGTTGGGGGTGACAATGTTCTCCGACACTTCGGATGGGCAACTCTAAATGCTGACCCATTCAGAGTTCAGTAGACTTACACAGGGTTTTTTTCTCTCTTTCTCTCATTTGAAGCATGAAAAGATAAAAGTACACATTCAACGATAAAATTTGTTGAATGCATTTAAACTTTAGGTATGAACTAGAGTGCACAAGAATGATTTGGACACCATGAGCTGTGCTTATAGTTTTACAAGATGCCAAATGTATCTCACTGGGGGATCAGGTCAGCTGTCAGATTCAGAGCACCCAGTCTCCCAGGGGGTTTCCAGAACCTCGTGTCTGGGCTCTGTTCCTGCACTCTCGCTTTCCCGGGGCCCGTCCTCCCCTCACCCTCCACACCTTGGAGCTGACTAAAGCTCTGCTGTGTCCCCGCCAGGCTGGTGGAAGCCTTCAAGCTTCAGGACCAGCTGCAGGCCCCCGTGAGGACCTTGTCAGAGGGGATGAAGAGGAAGGTATGGAGAGCTGGAGGGCTTGGTGTGGCTCTGTGTGCTCGCTGACCAGCACCAATGGGCTGTCCCTGTCCTTCCAGCTGTGCTTTGTGCTGAGCATCTTGGGGAACCCTTCAGTGGTGCTTCTGGATGAGCCGTCCACCGGGATGGACCCCGAGGGCCAGCAGCAGATATGGTGAGGAGCCGAGCTGCCATCAGGGCCAGCGCTGATTCCCATGGGAGAGGTTTAGGTTTTGTTAATGCTTTTTAGACACACAGCAAAAGTCTCTCCTTCACACTGTTTTTAGGAGTAGCAAATATTATCCCTATAATTAAAATTAATATTTGGCCAAAAACTTCTTTCTGTGATACTTTATATCCAGTTCTCACTGAGGAAAAAATAAGCTTTTCAGAATTCAGTACTCTTTCACTGTTTGGTTTGCTTGTTCGGCCCCTTTTTGTACAACAGGTTTCCATTTGTACAGTAACTAGTGACTCACAGAGAGCTGGGGGACCAAGTTGGCCTGTGAAGTTCGGCTTTCTGAATGCTGCTGCTCAGACACTTTCTGTTTCTCTTTCTCAGCCCTGAAGGTCCTGGTGCTTCAGGAGTGCAGCTCACTTTTGTCTGTCTTCTCACTGCACGTTTATCTCTGCTCAAACTTGCTATTCATGTATCCTTCCCTCCAGTTTCCCCCACTCTCTTCTTTAGTTAAAGTCCCCAGTTTAGGGCTGGGCATGTGAAACAGTAAGAGAGTGCTTGCCTCGCGTGCAAGGCCCTGGGTTTGATCTCTACCACTTCCAACAAAACAACACCAAAAAACCCCACAATATTCCTGTCCAAACAGATTGGCTTGTGCTCATCCTGCCTGACTCACTCTTGCCCCTAGATTTATTATTTCTCCTTTCTGCTTTAGCAGAAATTTCCTTTCTACCACTTCCAGATGAAGCAGAAGACTTCCATTAACTGTAACTATTCTCTTGACGACGTAGGAAAGCAATACGGGCCACCCTTAGAGACACAGAGCGGGGTGTGCTCCTGACCACCCACTACATGGCAGAGGCCGAAGCCGTGTGTGACCGAGTGGCCATCATGGTGTCTGGAAGGCTGAGGTGAGCGCCCGTCTTGGCCTACACCTGGCCCATCCATGTTATGGAAGCTGACAACACTTATGCCACCACCCTTTTGAAACGACAGGACAGTGGTTAATCAAGACGTTTGGAGCATAGTTTTAGACATGCTTCCCGTGTTTGTCTTGTCCATTTTCGATTCCTCTTCTGCTCCAGGTGTATTGGTTCCATCCAACACCTGAAAAGCAAATTTGGCAAAGATTATCTGCTGGAGATGAAGGTGAAGACTCCCACCCAGGTGGAGCCCCTCCACGCGGAAATCCTGAGGCTCTTCCCCCAGGCTGCTCGGCAAGAAAGGTAAAGCTGGTGCCAGCTTTCCATCTGGTACCAAATATTGTTTTTCCTGAGAGTCGTTTTGCTTTGCCATCACTGGGGGCTACATTTAACCCAAAAGAAAACAACAAAAAAACTAAACAAAGTAAATACTGTATTTGTGGGACACAGCAAGAAATAAAATACACAGAGGGTCGATTACGAAGCCAATGTCACCTGTGTTGTGGGTTACAGTGTGCTAGGTGCAGCTCCTGGCCTGTTATCTAGTCGGCATTCAGATCTTTAAAAGTAGACACCGTTATTCCAATGAGTAACTTGGATAACGAGCTGGTGTTTACAAGGAATTCACTAAGCCAATTTATTTAGATGTACAGAAAAGTTGCATCTATACTGCAGATTTCCTGTACAACACTCACCCAATTTTCCTTATTAATATCTTGCATAACTTTGGCTCAGTTTTCAAGGCTAAGTAATTAACAACAGCACAATGCTGTTAACGAAATTATAGATTCATTCAGATTTCACCACTTTTCCTACTAATGTCTTTTTTAAATTACAGAACCTATCTGGGATAACACACTGAATTTAGAATCTATTTTTAAGATTTTTTCAACCATTTGACAATAAATTACAGATAGCATGACACTGTACTTTTCAATGTGGTACTAAATATCTCCTAAGAACTACTGTAATCAAGATAGTTTATGCCCAAGAAATTTAACATGCGACAATAATATTAGATAATAAGTTTTCCAAATAAAGTTAGGGAAAAAATTTCGCATTTGAATCACCAATGTGCTTTATATTTAAACCCCTCAAGAGCCAGTCAAAATTCAAACATTTTGTGTTATGTTGATCTCCTTTTTAAAATTAGTGCATGTTTTACTGTATACAAGGATTATATTCATTGTGGGGATGTGGTACATGTCTACAATGCAATTATTTTACTTATTGCTCTCTATTCTCTTCTTCCTTCCTCAATATCTGGTTTCTCTTCCCACTTGCAGAAGGTTTATCTCCCTGTTCCATAATATTTTCTTTTCTTTTGCTTCTATTCATACCTTGGCTTTCTCATATAAGAGAAACAATGTGGTATTTATGCTTGCATGTCTGGTTTACTTCATTTAACATGGTTTCAAGGTGCATTTTCCAACAAATGACTCAAATTTATCATTCTTCATGGCTGAGTAGTACTCTGTTGTGTATATTTACCACATTTTCTTGGTCCATTTATCAGTTAATGTATATATGGGTCATTTCCAAGAGTTAGCTATTATGACTTATGCTCCTACACAACAGATATATGTATTTATGCTTCTATATACATGAGGTCATTAACTTTTTTGAGAAGACGCCTAGAAGAATAGCTGTGTCAAATAGAATTTCTGCTTTAAGTTTATTGAAGAATCTCCCTGCTGACATCCATAGTGATTGAACCAGTTTACATTCCAAGCAACTATGTAGAAGGGTACCTTTTTCCCTACAGCCTTGCCAGAATTTGTTATTAGATTTCCTCCTTGCTTTTTGAGTTCCTGTTGCATGGACTATTCTTTTTCATCCTTTAATTTTTAGTGTATGAATTACTTTTTGGATTAAATGTGTCTCTTGTATGTAGTATTACCGCTAAGTTTTGTTCCTTTGATTAAATCTGCCAATCTGCGTCTTTTGATTGGGTAATTGGGACCATTTACATTGGGAGTCATTATTGAAAGGCATTGACTTATTCCTGACATTTTGTTTTTCTTTTTCTCCTGTTGCTGATTCCTTTATTTTCCTTTGCCTAACTGTTCACCCTGCTTGATGTTTTCATCCCATCATACATTTTGGCATTGTTGACTTCATATTCTCTGTCTAGAGTATCCTTGAGAATTTTATGGAGCACTGGCTTGGGGGTTAGGAATTTCTTAAGGTATTCTCTGTCATGGAAAGTGCTTATTTCTTCATCACTTCTGGAACACAGTTTTGAAGGATATATTTGTTTGGGCTAATATTTGTTTTCTTTTAATGTTTGAAACACTTCACTTCAACTTCTGCTGGCCTTTGAGGTTTATGTTGAGAAGTTTGGTGTAATTCTAAGGCCTTTACCTTATAAGTGATTTGCTGTTTTCATCCAATAACTTTAAAGGCTCTATCCTGTGTTGGACTTCTGGAATTTTGACTATGAGGCATCATAGAAAATTTTTTTCTGGTCATGGCTATTTGGGGTTCTATGTGCCTTGCTTATTTATATGTTGAATTCTTTCTCCTTACTTGTAAAGTTTTATGCTGACTCCTGTAAATATTCTTGTTTATTTTTATGTTGAATTCTTTCTCCTTACTAGTAAAGTTTTGTGCTGACTTCTGTAAATATTCTTTAAGCCATTTATGCTGTCCTTTCTGTAATTCTAATTAATCTTTTTGGAGTCACTTGTAGCTGTTGGATCCATTTCCCATCATCCATTGCGTGTTTTTTAAAGGTATCTTGTGTACACCAGTCCCATTTTCTAATTCTGAAACTCTTCTCACACTGCTCGCTTCTGTTTCCTATACTTTCATTAGAATTTTTTTATTTCCCTTATTCCTGTTTGGCATATTTTCATGGACTGTAATTCTTTGTTGAGTTGGTCATTCATGTTTTGAATCATTTTAGTTAGTTCTGAAAGTTTTTGATAGTATCTTCTTTAAGTTCATTGACAGTTTTGTTTATTAAATTTATTATCTCTTTAGTTATATCACATTGCTCCATTATTTCCTCCCCATTGAGGCCCCATGGATCTCCTTTAAGGGAGTTGGGAGACATTTTATCAGTTTATTTTCTCATGGTGTGTGTGTGTGTGTGTGTGTGTGTGTGTGTGTGTGTGTGTGTGTGTGTGTTGGGGGTTAAGGGTCAATTAGAATAGAAAGACTTTGTTGCTACTATGGAGGTCACTCTAGTTAGTGTCTATTTTCCAGTGATGTGTTCTTGGCTTTGTTTTGTTTTGTTGTTTATCTACCTCTTTAACCTACTCCGCTTAGTAAGATCAGACTTGGTCACTGTCTTGCAAGGAATCTACTGGTTATAACAATGTCAACAGATCCAAACATGCATCCATTATATACATTAAAGTTTATTTTAACAATTTCATTCTTTTATTAATACTCCTTACTGACTGAATTCTACTAGTACCAGCAGACTAAGACGTGGAGGGTAAGGAGAAAAAAAAGTGCAAAAGGAAAGGATTAAGTCAGTAAGAAGAGAGGGAAAGAAGAGAAATATCAATAGATAAAATATAGGAGATCAGACTCTGTTGGAATTATTTTTATAGCTTGAGTAAAGGGTGAGTGTCCTATCTAAAGACTGATGGAAGCTATGAGATTGTCAGAACCTGTTAATTTGTTGGGGGTTAGTTTATGACTGGATCCTCTATGCACAATTTTGGTGAGGGCTATCTTGACACGGCCATGACACACTATTTAAATTGAAGCACCAGTTAATTTTTGCACACATGCAGACACCATATCTATATCTTTCTATATTTATATCTACATCTATATCTCCATAGCTATCTTAGATGAGAGGAAAAAAGGAAGGGAAGATAAAGGGATAAGAAAGAGAGGACAAAAGAAAAATAAGAGAAGGGGAAAATGAAAATAGTAATTAGAAAGAAAGTATAGAAGAAAAGTTTAAAAACTCATGCATTTTCAAAAGCACAAAATCAAAGCATCCTCATGGTCTCATTCATACTGCAGTTTGAGTTCAATTTTGGGCGCCCAAGTTGCTTCCCCCTCTCCAAACTTCTGTCAAAAGCTTCTTGCTCCCCACGGCTTTTTCTGCACAGCAAATCCCACCTTCGCCTCAGGTTTTCCCTCCAGGAGGCTTCCATCTTGCATATCCCAGGCACCCCCAGGCACAGACACTACTCTGTGTTTCCATCCCCAGTCCTTTTTCAGTCCCTTTCCCCAAAGTGTCACTTTCTGAGACTTGGAAAAAGCCCCAGGGCTCCTTGCTTTCAGCAGTCCCTGAGGAGGGTGTTGGGGGCTCTCCTGTGGGCATTTGCTAGTGAGTTACTGAGTTACGAGAGGTCCCATAACCACAATGCCCCAGTGTATGGGGAAGGAATAGGCGAGTAACTATTTCTGAGTCAATCTGGCTGCTTCTTTCCCCAGAGTCCTACCACTCTCAGACACTGCTCGCTTTTGCAAGCCTGAAGCCAGTTTTTTTCCTTGCTCAAATCCTGATCCTTAATCAGAGTGTCACCATTGTTTTCAAATTCCCCAGAGCTTGCTGCTGGTGTCCTCTTGAACATCATTCTGGCTTTTAATATCTCTCATACTCTGGGTTGCAAATATTTTGCTGGCTGTATTTCTCTTCCCCATGGGAAGGGCAGAGTAATCAGGAGACTACTTCATCAGCCAGGCCACCACTGAAATGCTGATCCTCCTTCTGGAGCCAGATCCTCTCCCAAGGTGATGTCTAGGTCATTCCTGGGTCGTAAGGGAGGTTGCAGTCCAGGAGCAATGAGCTTCCATTTCTAACCCTCCCTGATGCTGGATTTTGGTCCAGTGGGTTTCTCCTTCTGATGACTTGGCCAAATTTGGTTTTTTGCTTGTCCCCCTGCTTTCCTCCTATGCTTGTATTAAAGTCTCTCTCCCTCACTGCTCCTACCTAGCTGACCATGGTGATCTCCCAGTAAGCAGATTTTATTATTATCATTATGAATGAAAGCTCCATACTAAAACAGATGACTTAATAGATTGGAGGTGACCAATGGCAGAACTAGACTGTAGCCCTTAATTTTATTCTATATTCATAATTACCCTGATTTTATATAAAAGTTCATGGATGACACCCTCGTTGGAAAAGTTATACAGATATTTTTCCCTAGAATTTTCAGGGAAAATGAATTACAGGGCAAAAATCAGAACAATGAAAGAAATAATTCAGAACAGCAAGAGCTATTTATTAATCAGTGGTTTATCTAAAACCTGTGGAGTGTATTACTAAATTTGCTACCCAAGATTCTAGTAATTAATGGGAATCAGTAATTGTGGATAGGGTTGACTGTTCCATAAATGCAAGAAAATAAATCCTTTGAAATGAAATCACATTCTGACTATTTCTGATCCTAAGGAGGCTGATATCTACCCAAGTAGCACCTGTTGAGCCTAAGGTCCTCCTGAACAGCATTTGAGGCCTGATTCCTGAAGACATCTGCTTTGACCTCAGAGACCATTTTGCTTACTCCCACATTGGGAACACAGCTTTATTTGAGTGAGGGAAGGGGGTGAATGAATGGGTGGCTTTGTACAGAAGGAATCTACTGTATTTGGAAACTTTAGGAAATTATCTGATGGTGTGAGGGCCCTAAGCTCTCCCTTGTGGGTAGATGGCAAAAGCAAGACTTAAAATGTCACTTAGCCGGGCCCTACATTATTCCTGCCTTGGAGCCTGAGACACTAACCTGGAGAGTGGTATGCAGCGTGCTCCCAAATTTTACTCTTGGAGTTCCTACCATGACAAACGCTCTTACTGATGAAAGTTTAAAAATACAGAATATTTGCCATAGACTTTGGTCAGTTGGAGGTGATGACCAGCACATTCAGAGATCAACTCTTTCTCCTCTCCTCCCAGGTACTCTTCGCTGATGGTCTACAAATTGCCAGTGGAGGATGTGCAACCTTTATCACGGGCCTTCTTCAAATTAGAGACCGGTAAGCGAGATCAGTTTGAGTGAGGTTTTGAGAAGCAGATAATTCTCAAACAGAATACTTACAGAAATGACCAGCTAAACTGAGATAAAACCATGCTAGATCTTGATGTCAAAATCTGAATTTGAATTCTAGAGGCAGGAAACCAATGCGGTGAACAGGTTCTGTAAGTGTAGTTGTACATGAAATGGCACAAAGGATTTTTTTTTCATTTTTACTTAGTTGTATTTTTGGCACATAACATAATACAAGATTAGATGAAGTTCACTATACAGTGAAAATGGTTACATGCTTTTAGATCATAGATACATGCTCACTGCAGACACTATATTTAAGGCATATACCTTGCAGTGCATATTATGGACTTGAGCCATAGATCAAGAAGCAGACCTACACCATAACCAACAATAACCCACTCTCTGGCAGCTTCCCTTTGAGCTGGAGAACACTGCTTTAGTTCCTCCAAGCAGCTTGTTTCATTTTCCAATGTCTCAGTGATAGCTTTGCTCAGTTGCTACCTGACTTAAGGAAGAAATTCTCATGACCTGGCTCTAGAAGCATCTCTGACCCTTGATGACAGCATCCAAGGTCATCCTGATACATCTTCTTTCCAGTCCTCAGCTGAGCACCTCCACTCCCCAGGCTGTGTGATAGTTCACAGTGGTCTCTACATAGACATTGGTGTCATTATTAGCTTGGGACGTTGGGGGTCATATTTCCACCAAAAACCCATCTACTGGGCTGTTATGCTGACTCTAACTGTCCTACCCAGTCTAACTTGCTCAGCCAGAAGAATGTCCCGCCTGGTTAGGGACAGGCTGCCGTGGCTTCTGGAAAAGACCACTGATGTCTTCTCTTTAGTATGCTCATGCTGTTATTTTTTAAATGTCCCTTATTTTCACAATCTGTTCCTGTGTCGAGGCTGCTAAATTACAGCTCAAAAGCAGAGAAGGAAGCCTTCTCAGCACTGTTTCATAAAGCATATCTTTAAAGCTGCACAACCTCATGCAAGTGTGGCCCTAGCTGTGCCCCCTCCTAACCTAAGCAAACATGTTTACATATTTAAACCATATAATGTGCCCAGCCTAGGAATGTTTGTCACATCCCTTAGCATTGTTGCTTTCACTTGTTGTTTGTGCCTTACAATGATTTAGTCAATCTCATTTACAATGCATAAACCCCTGATGTCTGTTCACCTCTATGCAGTGAAACAGAGCTTCGACATGGAGGAGTACAGCCTCTCCCAGTCCACCCTGGAGCAGGTGAGGCAGTTTCTGTCATTTTATTTCATCCAGGGGATACAACTGTACTCAGTTGGAGCTAGGGAAGGCAGAGCGACATCCGTTTCTCTTCTTTTCTCCTTCTTCCCTTTCAGGTTTTCCTGGAGCTCTCCAAGGAGCAAGAAATGGACGATTTTGATGAGGAACTCGATCCCTCCGTGAAGTGGAAGCTCCTCCCACAGGAAGAGCCTTGAAGCTCCAAATATCTGTTTTCTTTATGCATGTTACTCTTTTATAGCAATAATAAGCCTCATCTCAGATATAGCACAAAATACTTTGAAACTCATGTGATAACTTTTCTCCATAACGTTAGTCCTACTGGGGCGGGCGGGTACGGCAGTGAGAGCAGAGATGGCGCCTGAGATTCGGCCAGACCACGCAGCCAGGTACCGGCAAGCACATCCCATTTCATACAGTGTTAAACTAAAATAGCACTTAGGATGATTTGTTTCCATGGCTGAGGATGGTGCAGAGACTGCTTGCTTTTCTCTCCCTGAACTTCACAATATAGAATATTTTCTTATCTTTTTGATTAGGTAAAATTAAGACATACTATTAATTCTAGGGGAAAGAGAATCAGTTGATTACCCAGCAGCATGGTTCTTGTCTCTTGTAATTCACCATTCTAAAGAGTGCTCAATTCCCTGACTCTCCTTTTCTGTCATTTTAACCCTCTAGATTGTAGAGTGTTTTGTCTTTTGTGACTATAAAGGAAATTCAAAACATGTTAAGGTAAATGCTTACGATAAGAATTTGAATGATCAAGTTGATGAACATTTTCCAATATATATTTTACCTACAAATTAAATATCAAATCTATCAAATATCTTTCTCTAAGATGAGAAACCCAACATATAAATAATCTAAAGAGGAAAATAAAAGATAGGTGATAAGAAACAGGGAGCTGGACTTGGTGGAGATGGAAAGGGGATCTGGAGATGGGTGACATGGGACGAATGTGAGGTTGGGGAAGCAGAAAGGATCAAGATGCAAAATGTCTGTGCACCACATGCCTACAATGAGTGTATTTATTAGGGGTTGCAGACACATGCTATTAAAATATTTAAAAAGAGACATATTTCTGCTTTTGTGTTTTTGATTGTATAAGGGTACTCTTTAAGGCACTAAATATCATAATTCTAATTTACTGTGTCTCTATACATTATGACCTGTCCAACTAGTAACCCTGAAACACTCTAAAACCAGCACCATAAATTGGCACTCAGGCTTAAATGAATTTTTTGTTGTCATTACTACCATTATTGTTATTAGCTAACTGAACATTTGAAACCAATTCTGAAAAAAAAAAAAAAAACTACCCTGTACTTTGATTCTAATGAAATAAACCACTGCCCTCAACCTAAGAGAAAATTCACATGAAAGCTTAAGCAATGGGACCCAGATTATTATTTTTTTAAGGAGACACTAGCAGTAGTTCTATTTAACTTTTATGCGTTACACATGAATAGATATAAGTCAGCACAATAAAGATAATGTTTCACATTACTTAAATTAGTACTACAATAAGGTTGCAATGAGCCAAGTTCAAAAAACTGCACTTATCATTGTATTAGAAGGCTCATCTTCTAAATCACACATGACTTTCTAAGACTTGGTTGAATTGTACTATTAACCTTATAGTAGACTCAGCAAACATTTTAGTGGATATTATGGTTCAGAGTTAAAATGTTCCCAAAGCCTCATGTGCTCATAGGTAGAGCTTTTGAAAGGTGACTGGCTAATGGGGGCGGAATAGCTGACTAGCAGTTTGGAGGTAGGGTCTGGTAGGAAGAGGCAGTTCACTGTGGGTGTGGCTGAAAGGGTCTATCTCCCTTCCTGCATCCTCCCATGATTCTCTCTGCTTCCTGTCAGTCCAGGCACACAAGTAGCCCTCCTCCACCGCGATCCTCTCTGCCTTGTGGTCCTGGCATGGAGCCAGCCCACTACGACTGTAACTGTGAGCCAAAATAAACCTTTCCACTTTAAATTGTAGAGTCAGGTATCATGCCCCAGTAACAAGAAAATCTTAGTTAAGACATTGAGAGTTTTTAAATGACCTCGTGTTAATGCTATATTATGGGAGCTGGCCAAGAGAAGCATATATCACCTTAGCATTTCAAAAGTACATTCTCAAAGCTAAAAAATGAAGAAAAGTGAAAGTGTTTCAAGGAGAGGATTTATATCCAACATGCCTATAAAATAAACTGAAACAGTAAACTTAGGCAGGCAGAATTTCAGAACTATGATCATTTCAGAAGCATAGTAGGATAATGGCAACAGCATCAAAGAATACACATTATCTGCTAGATTCTACACATATACTGGTTATTTCATGTAGGCCTCATAATAGCAAATAATTATATATAATATGATAATTATTTCTTATCTGAAATATATCACTGGAAGAGGCAGAATTTCTGAAATGGCCCACTAAGATGCTTCCTCTCCTAATCTCGCTCCTGTGGTTATGATATGTTATTGTTCCATTGTATCTGTTTTGTTGCATGACACATATTATGTTAACATGAGAAGATTACTTTGGTAGTGGGCATGAACAGATTAGAGTATCTGACTTAATGGTCACATCCTATAACAAGGAAAACTTTCTCCAGATAGTCAAAGAAGGGGAAGTGATGGAGTTTTGAAGCATGAGGAGTTTCTGCTCTGTGTCCATCTTGGGAGATGCAGAGGCCATGGGAGAAGGACTGGGTGTGCTGTCCTGTCTAGTTGCAAGGGGCTAAGCCAAAAGAGAAAAACTACACTGCCACTGAATACTTCATAGTATCAACATACTTATATTATTGATATTTTGATATTGCTTATTATAACAGATAACATTGACTAATACAGGAGTTTGTGCCAGGAAAAGTATAACAGCAAAAACCTGGAAGAAGTGTTCCTCACACAAAAGCACTGATGCAATTGCCAAAGACTTTTGAACTAAGCCAAGTGGTTTGTCCCCAGTCCTTGTATGCAGCAGAATGTTCCAGGTGTTACCAATTACTGTTATTTTCTAGTATGTTTATCTATGTTATCTCTCTAGCTAGTCATACAATTCTTCATTGTTTATCTGTACTACATCATTCCCAAAGTGTCTAGCCAAGGAAGTAACTTAGTTGTTAGTTACAGATGTCAATACACATATTTTTCTTGTTTTGATTTATTGAGTTATAATCACTGCAGTTTTGTGTTTCGGTATCAGGGATCGAACTCTGGTCCTTGTGCTTGCGGGGCAGGCAGTGGAACCACTGAGCTAAATCCCCAGCCCTATCACTGCAATTTTGGAACAAAAAGAGTTAAAATTTTGAGTTAAAATTTATCTCCTGAAGTGGAGCTCTCATTGCAAATTGGAGGAAATATTTTAATGTCTCTTTAAAACCCTTCTTTGGGTCCAATCCAAACTAAGAAACCATGGTTTCCGATGGGTTAATGCTTCATTGTATTATAAAAACCTAGAAAAAAAGTCTTAACTTGTTATTAAAAGTTGTAATTTGCATAAATGCTTGAAGTATTTCAAGTAGAAAGTAAGAATAACTTTATGAGGTCATAATAAATGAAAATATAATTATTATGAATAAATAATTTTAGTGATACTTTATTCTCAGCAAAGATGTGAGTTTTTTTTCAACAATGGCATTCTTGACATTGACATTTTGAGTGGCACAGCTTGCTAAATATTTGACTTTTTTCTCATTATTTTCAAACTCCATCCTAGTAATTCATACCATTATTCATTTACATTATCAAGAGAGAACATAGAAACTCAAAGCCCATATTTTGATCTATCCTCCAAACCATGCTAACTTCATTCTTTTTGTTTTTAGTCACCTAAACTATACTAATTGGTGAGATTTTTACCTTCCAACTAATACTTTCCACCACACTTGTCCCAAATTTCCAAACCAGGATCCTACAATTATCTACTCTTCTACATGTGAGGCTCAACATTGCCAGAGAAAGGCATTTTCATGTTTGCCAATACTATAAAACTGGATGTAGAGGTCCCCAGTCGTGCGGAACAAACGCCGAATCAGCCCGCTGCAGACAGGCAGGTCTGTGCATGCCCTACCGAGGTCCTGAGTCAAGCGGAAGACACCGAATCACCCCACTGCAGACAGGCAGC